GGACCTCCATTTATTTGTCCTTATCTGAGAAGACTAGAATATCTATCCATTTCATTGATGTTATAGGAAGGTAGCAAATTCTCCTCAATTATTTTAAGACCATGAGTATTGGTCTGGCTGAGGCTCAAACCCTTGACCTCCCCACAACACAATCCAGTGCTAACCAGGAGGCGGTTGAATATCTCAGAGAATTATATGTTTATCAAAAAGTTAAGTGGAGAGCATTTTCTCCATCCAAAATACTATGCCTTGGCTTGGATGTTCATTCTAGTCATGTTTATCAAAAAAAAAAATAATAAAAAGTAAACAATTCTTTAAATTGTTGTGTCTATAGATGGGTGTGGGTAAATTGCTAAGGCAGTCAATGGTAACTGCAGGCAAGGACAGTAGGGAACCATGACAACCCTGTGAGCTGCCATCATGAGCCACTGTTACAGTCTGTTAATCTTGATTCCCAGAAACCTTTGTTGCGACCTTTTATATGCCAATGCTGAGTCATTCCCAGTCTGCTTACCCATTAAGTAGTTTTGGTTTTATCAATCAAGTTGATAATGTAAATTAGCCACCATAAAGAGTTTCAAAGCTGAGATTACAAGCGTTAGCCTTTCATCATAGCGAATGAAGAAAACCAAAATTATGTTGTTACCCCCACCAATGCAGCATCACAGTTTCTTTAGAAACCTACCCCTTTATTACCTACTTACCTATATACTGTCAGCCTTCCCATCATCCCCTTGTAGTGTGCCACAATGATTTGTCCTCATCCTGTTTTTTGTTTTTAGAGATCAATAAGTGATTTAAAATCAGTAGAGGAAACAGATGCTGCAGTTCACCTCAGACTGCTTAAAAATTATCTTCTTTTCACACAAAGTGACATTAGAAAGTAAACAGTTATCCTAAGGACAATATTTTCTCCACTTTTTTCCATATTTGACCTTATTATGCACCAACACATTGCCACTTTCGTTCAGGCTTTTCAATCTGATGTGATTCAAAAGGAAGATTGCTCTGTAACAATCAGAGGAATACAGGACTATAAAGTGCAAATTATTTTTTCTCTATGCCTGAAAACAATTGTCAAAGAATATCCTAAAGGATTGCTGAAGAATATAATTTTGTGTTATTCGCTATTTTTCGTTTGGTGTTTGAGTTTTTGACAACTACAAATCCCACTGTTCACCGCAGCTGTGAATTTCGACTGAGAGGTTTTGCACAGCAGCCATGTTGCATGACAGGAACAATAGATTATTTTTCCCATAGGAAAAAATTTTCTTTCTTATTCAAAATATTTTCATTGTTCCTGCCATACAACATGGCTGTCATGCAAAACGTATATATCACTTTGCACGGTTTGCATACCATAGTGGTATTTGTTGTCAGGGAGGGTAGGGTTGCTATTATCAAAGCATGAGAATCACGTGTTTCGTCCATTCAGGATTTACGAAATGTCATTGTAATGATTCAATAACAAAGGTATTCGAGCGGAAATATAAACACGCTGAAGGGGGACATAAACTTCTTATGAACCATGACGAATCGTAATCATCCAGTATAGGTGAGATATTTGCTTTCAAAATCGCGCTTGGTCAGCTCAATACAGACTCCCGTTGTTTGAGACTTCAGTTGACATGACAAGTGTTATGGTTCCCACGGACGGACTTGAAATGTCGGAGAAAAATTGTCATACGGGAAATGATGTTCTCAAAGGTGACCGCGTAAAGCTTGAAGTGGTGAGCAATATTCACAAAGTGGTGTTCTTGTAGAGATATAATCTTTAAATAAGTTCCAATATGTCCAATATACTGTATAAGAGTTTGTGGCTAATTTTAAGCCCTCCAATGGTGAAATTTACCCGATGCTATCTATCATTAAAATATTTGCTTATTTGCGTCCTTAATCACCAAACAAAAACATCGTCTCCCGTTGGAAGATGTCTGTGAATAGAAGATGCCGTGTTTGCCATTGTCTACCAAATTCAATTTACTCGTTGTTTTGTATTTTCTCATTCAACTAAAGGATGATGCCGAACTAGGATCTCGCAAGACATCTGCTCGATGGAAACTTCAACACAAACGACAAGTATTAAATCAGAAGATATTTAAGCAGACAAAATTACGGGATGGTGCCGAAAATTTAATGAAAGCTCTCAGGTAAGTTATACTTAAGTGAATTTATTTTGGGTTTTTGCCTCCCAAGTACTCTATGAAATACAAAGTGTACTTGTAGACATATAATTTTAAATTTTACTCTCCAGTTTATAACTGTTTGCATAGCTTTCCTTCTCCAGAGTTTTCTTTAGTTTTCCTCTAATTGACCGGGTATGTTTCATGGTCCGTTAGATAGAAAACAATGATAATATTGTAAGCGTTTCATTTCTAGAAAGATTAAACCACAGCATGCAAAATCGATTAAGTTCACAGAATTATGTAGATTCGGCATCAACTCGATCAAGTGAATTATGGCATCTGCATGATAATACAACTGAAGACTTTCAATTTAGTCGTGTAAATTACATTAACAACAACAACATTGATCAGTGCAATATGTTAAATTCAATTATTTCAGATTGTCTGATAAATGAATAACCTTCTTTTAACAGCTTTGATCTGTTGAAGGATGAAAGATTCAATTAAAAAAATTTGAAGCATGTATTTTGACGGTACATCCTTTACACTTAAGTTTATTTCCTCGGTATTAATTTCTGTTCGATTTCATAGTCCACAAAAAAGTATCGTCTAATTATGTGTGGAGGACAAAATTAATTCAGAGTATTGGTTGTAAATATTGTCTGACTTGACATTTGCTCGGTCTGAGTATAGTGGCCTAAAAAAAATAAATAACACGAAAAAAGGTTTGTTTTTACGTGAGGCAAAAATAGATAGTATTTAAATACCTGTCAACTGTGATGTTAGCTATCTAAAACTTTGATCCTATTCCAGCTTTTTCCTGTTGACCAATTTTCATTTCCAATGGAAAAATGCAAGCTATTACAGTCTTACTTGACCTCTACATTAACAAAAGTTGTTTGATCTGAATTAAACTAAAATGAAAATTTAATTAAAAATAGAAAAGCCTGGATAAAATATGGGACCCTCTCCAAATATTTTACTGGAAATATCTAGTCAGGCCATTACAGACAATTTGGTACACTCAAAGGATTAAAATTTTATGGCTTGGTTTAAATAATAGTAGTTGGTGGATATGCACATACGAACAGATTATTAGCAGTCCCTCATTTTTGGCAAAGTGTGGCTCATGAGTCATAAAGATCAGCGTCTCAGTCTTCAATTGGGAGCCACATTAAAGAGCAGCATGGGCATACCCCAAGTGACTTGCATCACAGTTTCAAAATCCTGAAGAAATGCAAAAGTAAACTGGACTGCCTAATTTACGAGATGCTTTTTATAAAAGAAATTAAGCCAAGCTTGAACAAACAGTCAGACTGAATCCGCGCAAAGCTATTTTTATAATAATTTACGGTATCTTCATAGAATTTATAGTTTTACTTTCGTCAACTCTCATATTAATTTATTCGTATCGTCTCCTTTGCAATTTTATCACTTCTATTTTACGCCTAGCGTTTACATATTTCCATATTTTATCGCCTTTAAATATCATTCCCATGTCTTGAATTTAGTACATATATGTAAAAATTTTCCTTTTCATCAGCTTGAAAATGACCTTGACAAGGTCGAAACACCGCTCAAAATTATTATCACTAATTTTTATCTTGAAAGCTTTTCTAAAAAAACTACTTATCAAAATTTTAATATAAAAGGCTTCAATTTGCCTTTTGACAATGAAAAACTGCGATAAAATATTATAAAGCATGACACGACGTTTCGACGTTTCCAGAACGTCATTATCAAGTAAACTAAAATAATAAAATCGAGCATATATATAATGAAGCGGTGAATAAATTACAAAACGTTAAAAGTCAAACAAAGAGTTTAGCCCTAATGGAATCGCTCTGGGTGTTTAAATTGGGCCTTCTTGTTCTTATGTACAACATTTCATAAACAAATCTTTACTTATTCGAATTTGCCTTTTGTGGAGGTATTCCAAGGCTGTGGTCTAGCAGTGCCCGGTGACCCTTGGCAACTTAACCTTTGCTCTTGGGCAACTCAGGAATTTTAGTTTTTTCATAAAAAAGTATATGCTGGGCACCCTGGATTTCACAGTTTCAGAGTTCACTGGGCTCCATTCAATTTTCCTTAGAGTACAGCCTTGCTATTCACCATTTGTACAACCTTTCAATTTTAAGGATTACATAACAAGTTGCTTGCAACTCAATTAGTGAGAGTGTCGTCAACACAAAACTTGCATCCATGATAGCAATAACATTTAGCTAGTCTCCAATGGACTTTTTAAGGGTGGTATTACATTTAGTATCCTTAACTGAATGATGCTACTGTCACCTCCCCTAGCTAAACAGAATGGGACATCCAGAAAGTATTGAAAAGTAGACTATAAAACTGAACAAGTTAATTTGTTTAATATATTTTTTTTAGGATAACAAATGATCGCAAAACAAAGCTAGCTGCAAAAACAGAGTTGAGTTTTGCTAATTCCCAATTGGACTTGCTAAAGGAAGAACTGGAAGGAATCAACAGCACCTTGGATGTGTATCAGTTTGACAGGTAAATCTATAAATTAGCCTTTTGGGGCTGGTTATTTAAAAATAAACAAAGTTTTGCTGTTGTTTAACAAAATGGCATCCTAAACAACCCCCCAATTACCGTGAAAATTCACACCTTTGTTCCTAGGAATTCCTAAGAATGGATTCTTAGGAATTCTTAAGAAAGTCCTAGGAATTCCTACCTTTAATTCGCAAGGGTATAATCTAGCTGGATTTATTATCTGAACATTTACTTTTGTGAACAGTGTACATACATACATACATTAATTGACCACTCCCCATAGGGGCTTTTCAGGGCCAACAACCACCCATCCCGCCCAGGGGAGGACATCCACCACACAATAATCTCGTGCATGGGAAATTAATGTCTCCTACCCCTAACCCTGCAGAAGACGGGGCCTACGGTTTATTCATCCTTATCCGAGAAGACTAGAATATCTATCCATTTCTTGATTATAGAAAGGTAGCAAATTCTCCTCACTTATTTTAAGACCATGAGTATTGGTCCGGCCAGGGCTCGAACCCTCGACCTCCCGCACATCACAATCCCGCACTCTAACCAATTGAGCTAACCGGGAGGCGGTGTCAAGGGAGGCAAAAGCTAATGGGGGAAAGACATAATTTGATTAATTCGACTCTCTTATAGAGAAGCACTGAACCCCACATGTTATACTGTGGTTTGGGTTATCTGACCTCTGGCAAAAAACCAGCCCATAAAGTCTTTTGGGTCTGAGTGGTGGAGAGAGAAATTTTGTTTACTGTTTTTAATCATAAGTAGCTAGTGTGGCACAGTTGAATCCTTAATTGCTGATGAGGAATTTGAATGAAACCAAAGTTGAAACAATGTAAAATTCCTCAAGGGGAATAGGACGAAGAAAGATGATGAAGTACTAAGTTGAATCCTTTGGAAAGTGTGTTGTGATTTGCTTATAAATAAATTCAATTACTTTTCTTTCAATAACCAGATGTGGGAGCTGGTAAAACCAAACCTGCTAATAACAACTTTAGTTACCTAGTCATCGCTGTGTCCCTAAGTTTGGTGCAGATTTTGTACCCTAATTTTCCTCTCGTGTCCTACTATCTAATGCTAATATTATTTCATATCAGGTAAGTATAAGTGATACTTGCCGTTTGTTCATTGTTACTGATTTTTTATTTGTGTTTGTCTTAATCTGTAATAAAGATCTGTAGAGCACCAGATCCCTTTGATCGCTGTTGGTCTCAGAGAAACAAAAGAACTTGATTTTAAATCTCAGTTTAAGGTATGTATGTTCATCTTCAGCTGTACGAGGGTGTAAACAAACACAAAGTGGGTAAAGTCTAGATTGAACAACAATGTGTTTTTTAAGTCTTGGCCTCACTTTAAGATCCTCCATGATTACAATTATTATAGCAAATTATTCATCCACAGTTATTTGTGCATCCACAATCATTCCGCAACTTTGTTGGGGGAAAATGGGGGGCTTAAATAACTAAATGTTATGAAGATACGATATACTCACCACAGGTACACTGTAATGTTCAATATCACAAGGTATTATAAATTTTACAAGAGGTTCCGTGCTGTCTATTTTTAGGATTTCATTTTGGAACACTACAGTGAAACTCCAGAAAACTATGAGGAAGAGCTTGAACTATTTGAGAATCTAAGAAAGGTTTGTCTAATTGATAAGTCACCTGTACTGGCACCCAGTAATAAACATTATGGTGGTACCTGGGCACCCAGACTTATATTCATTTGTGAAATTTTTAATGTTCTCAAAGCTTTTTTTTTATCAAAACGTATTTTCAAAGGTTTAATCAAAGTGTATTTAAAAAATTCTTCTTAGAATAGATAATAAAATAATTTCAAGGGAATTAATGCAGCTGACAAACATAAGGAGAATATAAAGAGCTTTAAAATGATATTCTACAAAGAAAGATCATTCATGCATTGACCTTTCTTCAACTAGTACCTTACTTCTGTCATTCAAATATGATTTCAATTTACCAGTATGTTTTCTTTTTTATTCAATTGTCCTTTTGTTGTAGCCTGCGTGCAGCCCCACTGGTCCTTGACGAAGGACAAGTGCAGGGCTGCACACAGGCTATTTTGTTGTGTCATAAAAGAAAACCTTAATGTGACTAAGTATCCTCCTTCTTAACAGGAAGCTGTGAGCAAAGCCAACAGAGATGAGAATGGTATCTATTCTTTGTTCAAGTACTACAACCAGCTCTACTTTGTGGAAAAGAAATTCTTTCCCCATGGGAAACACCACACATTGTCAGTTTATTTTCACTGGTGAGTTTGAACCTATTCTTATGCAGTTTACCCTATGATATAAATTAGTGTGACAATAATAATTGAGAAAAATTGACAGGAAAAGGAATGGAAATTAATGTGAGAGTGGAGCATATGTTTCAAAATATGAGAAGTAAGTATATAAGAGCAATTGAAACAAAGAAACTGGAGAGGAAAAAATATGTTGCAAAACTGATAGAGAAAAAGAACAGGAATGCATTTAGATTCTGTGTTGGTCTCCCTTAAGGGTCACTGTCAAAGAAAAGAATCTCATCAATGTGTGTGTGCCCATCAGTTTTCTCATTTTACTAGCTACAATTGTTTGAAGATTGTAAAGAGAAATGAAGGAAAATTAAAAGAAATTAATTTTATGGAAATTGGTGAGCGTGCCACTATATAATGATGTAAAAATAACTAAAAATAATAATTTATTGATCATTCAATAATGTTGGCTCTCTCTGTGAAAGGTTTGATACCACAACTGGTTTACCAAAAATTCAAAGATCTGTTGCATTTGAAAAGGTATGGACATCCTTATTATTAATTTTATTTTAATAATCAACATATCTGCATGTTGCCTTCTGCACTACTTTGGGTTTATGAAATTCCAATTGAAATGAATTTTTCTTATTACTTAAAAGTAAACATTACATTTTGTAGGCTAGTGTGCTCTTCAACATTGCTGCCATCTGGAGTCAAATTGGTGCAAAGCAAGTAAGTTAAAGTTCATATAGTACAGTGATATTTTTTGTGTTTTTACAGTCTACTGTAATTTATAAGATGTAAATATATTCTTAAATTCTCTGTTGTGTGCCACATAATCATTATCCAAGGACCCTGGAGTTGGCCATAAGCTTTTGCTATTCTATTCTGTCTTGTGCCATGTTTTGTTTCTCTTTTGGCATTTATACATAGGATTTGTGCCTCACTGTTAAGGCTGGCTGTGCAGTGATTAACTATGACTTCTGGACAGCTGCCAGCTTTTATGTATAGCTGTGCATCACTTAGGGCGAAAAAAGGTGTATTTGGTGGTCAGTTCATTTTCTGCTTTCCTGAGGATGTTCCCCAAAAGTGATGCTGTTTTTATTGTATTAGCAAGATGAGACTGACTTGTTTAATTTATTACTCTCTCAAAGAATTCTTCTTTCAAGATAGTATCTGATTGCTTGATTACCATATGGTAGCACAAAAAGCTACACTGTGACTGTCTTTAAGCTCCTTGGTTTATTATATAGCCACCCTTCACATACATATTCTGATTGAGTTTGAAATTATTCATTAAGTGTATGGGATTTGTGATTCAGGGTCCAGTGTCCTAAAAATTTATTTTTACATTTAAAAACAATGAGGTCTTACTTCCTTACAGGACAGAAGAACTGAGGCTGGACTCAAAGAAGCAATTGATGCTTTTCAGAAAGCTGCAGGTAACATTTTCAGGCTGCAAACCAGCTCGGTTTTATATTTCTGCAGGTCTTGAGCTCTTGATTTGTCAGGAGACTTGTTGATATTTTCTTCCTAAGAGTAAATATGAACTCTGTGTGAAAGTGGGTGAAGGACCTTTGGAACCTTCTCAAACATTGTTCGTGTTTAAAGGCTGATAGTTTCGAAAGAAACTGTTTGGGGCTGCGTCGGTGGGGGTAACGAATTAATTTGGATATATCAACAAAGTTGAAATGGTAAATTGGCCACCGTAAAAGAATTACAAAAGCTGACGTTTCGAGCGTTAGCCCTTCGTCGGAGCGTTAGCCCTTCGCTCCAACGAAGGGCTAACGCTCGAAACGTCAGCTTTTGTAATCGTTACTTTGTACGTGTTTCTTGAGAGGTCTGACTGTAAAATTACCAGTGGCGGAATAAAATGCATCTCCAAGGCTGCATCATTCTGCCATCATAGTTGGCATGTTTTTGAAAAGCACTAGTTAGCAAGAAACTGATCAAGCTCTTTCTCAGCTTTTACTTAATACATAACCCAAGTGTATGGCAAAGCTGAGGTGTCTGTTAAAACTCATTTAACTCTTGCAACAATAACACCAGTATGAGTCAAAATGGTAAAGGCAGAGTGTCACGGAGTGTCAGTGTGTCACCCACTGACTGGTTTGTAGGACCCAATGCTTAGGATTAAACTCCCCTACAACTTAACATCCCCTTCCCCTAGTATATTTACCAACTACCCCATCACATTTATCTTTGTTTTGACCTACATATCTATCACTACATGGGTATTGGAGACCCAGAGGCACCCAGCTTTTTAAGGTTGCTTTTCCAAATTTTCTCTACTGTGAATAGCTTGTTGTCTTGAATTACTTGAATTTGCTTTATTATTCAGGTGTGTTTAAATTTATCAAAGACAACTTTATCAATTCGCCTAGTGCTGACCTAACACCAGAGGTAATGGAGATGCTGATGGCTATCATGCTGGTGAGTGTAAAGTTCAAGTGAGCCACATTCTAAAGAATGAAGGAATAGGGAGTGGAAAGCCCAGAACTGATTTTTTTTCATTGTGGATCTGCAAGGTGTAAGAGTATCATGATAATAGTACTTAAATACCTGTGAAATTTAATAATAATAATAATAATAATAATAACAATAATAATAATAATAATAATAATAATAATAATGACCTTTATTAGTAATATATGCTTCCACATAGTGGCTCTTCACTACTAAATAAAAACTAACTATATACTACATAATACTTACAATAAATCAAAATTGCTAAAATAGTGAATAATAAAAACTATACTAGATTATCCATTGCATGTCAGTATGTGTCTCTTAAGATTTATACAAAAAAAGTGCATGGTCACTGCAATTCCTTAGCTCCGCAGGAAGCTTATTAAAAGCTTCTGCAGCTTGGTCTTGTAGAGTGTTCTTGAGTTAAATTATGGCAATACAAACGTCAGAGATAAAGATTACCTCAAACAAGAAAGATCAGTAAGGATTGGAGGAAGGCTTTTCTTTTACAACCACTAATTAACTCTGTTTTCTCATTATGGTCCTGTTTGAAGTTATTACCCCTCTAAATGGTTGGAATCCTTTTGTCTCGTACCTGTAAATTTATTTAACAACTCAGCCATTGATATTATGTTGAGATAGCCTATGGGAATTATGATCGATGGCTGCTGCACTAAACTAAGTTGTACCAGTTTGGCTTAGACAAGGTTGAGTCTAGTGGTACCTCCAACCATGCAATGGGGATGGGAAGGTGGGCCTTTCTCTTAATAGCACTCTGCTGGAAAACTGAGTGTTAGTTTAAAGTGATTAAAAAACTTCCTCAGTATTTTTTATTAGCTTGTTAATATGTAACTAATATAAAAAATGTTCACTTGGCTTAGAAAATTCCATATCAGCTTTGTATATCATTTTGAGTGTTGTAAATAGCAGGGTTTTCTTTTGAAAATTTTAGTAGCAGGGGAAAATCTGCACAGTAACCAGAGAATTATCTGCATGTCCTCCAATGTTTAATTAACACCAGGGAGTAGTGCACAACTTTGTAATATCTTCATAATTCATCTATTTCTCAGGCTCAAGCACAAGTGTGTATATGGGAAGAACTAATTCTTGGAGGAATAAAAGATAATTTGTCAGACAAGATAGTTGCTGCTCAGGAATGTTCCCAGGCAAGACCCACAACTTTTGATTTGATTAGCAATCTTTTTCATCGAACAGAAGTTTATTTATACAACCTCAAAACTATTGTTACTTGCATCTGGCCATTTGGAAAAGAATAATTTGGATATATCAACAAAGTTGAAATGGTAAATTGGCCACCATAACGATTACAAAAGCCATGTTCCCACCAATAACGTAGCTCCATTTTCTGCCTTAAAAAGCACACACAACCCACAATTCCTCTATTCGCTCCAACGAAGGGCTAACGCTCGAAATGTCAGCTTTTGTAATTGTTACAGTGGCCAATTTACCATTTCAACTTTGTTGATATATCCAAATTATTTCGTTACTCCCACTGACGCAGCCCCAAACAGTTTCTTTCAAAACTAGCAGCCTTTATTCATATGGAACAGAAGTTTATTTATACAACCTCAAAACTGTAATTATAATGATTACTTGCATGACTGGCCATAGAAATATGTGACAGGAACATGCTGTGATTGGAGGTGATTTTAGAATGTTCACTCATCCACCTGTGAATTCTTGGTACCTGGTTGCATGTGTTTCATTTGTTCTGTATAAATTTGAAATTGAGTGAAACTTTAATTCTCCTCTATCTTCTTGAAATAAGTAAAAAAGAGAATAGTTACTGTTACATATGTATATTAGAGTGAACAGCCAGCAAATTTCTAGGTATTCTTTAGATTCTCCTTCATAAATTGTCAGTTCACATTATGGCTAGCATGATGTACATACTCATCAGTTGTAAAACTTGATTGCCTCTTCAAAACCTACTCTGTAGTATTGTAAAATTTTTAAGTGGCATCCTGTGATGAAAATCAATTTTTGTTTTTCCACATCAGGTTAGTCTGAGTTATAAAAAGGCTCAGATGATGATGAATTCTGGAATCTGCTTGAGTTGTGTTCCAATTTCCTGGAGAAACATGATGTCTGTGAGTATGGAATCGATCAAGTTTTCTGTGAAGTGTCATTATGATAAAACCTTAGAACCAATAGAAAGTTATCACAACAGCCAGTCAGGAGGAAGGAGAAAATATCAGAAGAAACCAAAGAGAACTCACAGTGAAAACAAGTGAACTGCTTACAGTGCAAAATAATGGGTCGGAGTGACCAAGTCACAATTGGTTTTATTTTTTAATCTTACCGGTTAAGAAAGAGGTATGAGTTTTCTAGACTTATCAAAGAGCATAGTTAGCAAAGTAAACCCAACTCAAGCAATCACAGATTATTTTGCACACTCAACTAAAAATTCCCTATTTACAGTGGAATATGTAGCTTAATACAAGACATGATTACTTTGGTGTCTTAATTGGTTATAAGCTTATGGTCAGATTCTGTCTTGAGAATTCTCATTTGCTATACTTAAATAAGTTCATCAGCCTTTACCAAGTTGAGGCAATTAACATGTTAATTTTCTTTTCAATCTCTCTTCAGATAATGTGTCTTCACTATGAAGCTCTGTCACATTACTATGTTGCTGAGGGAATACTTAAAAGTGTGGGTAAGTATATGAAAGGCTGCTAAGTCCAATTTAAAGTTGAATGTAAATGTAAAGGTGGCTCACAGTCACAAAGAGTTCAACTGTAAATGTCTTACATTCTACATGAATATACTTTATCTTCTAACTCATCAACAATAGACAAGAAGTATGTTGTAGATGTCCAAGTACAGAGAGTAACCTTCAGTTGGTAACTCTGTAGATGGCTTACCCAGGTACTCCCTGACACCAATATTCCTCACTTGTTGTGCAATTATTTGGGTGTGGACAAAACCTGGCCTACCCTATGGCCTACCCTATGGCCTACCCTGTGGCCTACCCTGTGGCCTACCCTATGGCCTACCCTATGGCCTACTGGTGGTCAGATTTTTAAGAACATAAAAATAAAATCAGTAAGAGTTGAACGAATACGTTGGTGTACAATTATCTGTCTCTGAAAAGAGTATACTAAGAGGTCGCTAACACTATTTACAACGTGCAAGGGAACGAAACACTGCAAATATTACAGCACTCAACCATAACGGTAGGTTAAGGGGGAGGAGGGAGGAGGGGCCAATATTGCATGGTCGCAGAGGATATACAAAATGGCGGCTTTATGATGTGATGCAGGCTGTCAGTTGGTAACATATAGTGGAGGGCTGGTGTAAAAATGTAATGAACAGTGTTATATTGGAGAGCATACAATCATATCCAGGTAAGAAAATGCAAACGTTACGTGCCAGGCCAATTTTTTAAGTGCCGTCAAGTGCTGTAGAGTATTGAATTTGCAATGAGCACCCCAGGACACAAACACATCGCCGTCATAAGCATTTTGCAAACTTTACTTGCTTTTCTAATTAGGGACAGTATTGCACTGATTTGAAAGGAGAGCTGATATGATGATGTTTTCCCAAAAGTTGCATTTAACCGGCTTGCATTTGTTCCTCGATTTCCTTATTCTATCAGAAGGTACGTAATGAAATTTTGATCGGAATGTGGCCGCCAAAACAGCAGAAGAAAGTCGTTGGTAAGACAGTACTCAGGAAAACGTTGAAAGGTTTCCAGCAATGCTATCCTTTTAAAAATCTGACCACCGGTAGGCCATAGGGTAGGCCACAGGGTAGGCCACAGGGTAGGCCATGGCCTTAAGGCCAGGTTTTGCCCACACCCCAATTATTTTGGGATTGCCAGGTTTTGGTTTTGGTGTTTCAAAATAATATAGCTGTGATTGTAATCCCAACTGGTTCAGTATATGTTTTCTTTTATCAGAGAATCAGAGTGAAGATAAGAAGGATGAAGCTATTCTTTCATCATTAGGCACCTCTCAGACTAACAGCAATGAAACCAAGAAAAAGCATGGTAAGTATATTTATATATTAGACCACTAATTGAATTGAACCTGTAATCCCTCAAAATGGAGTTTTAATCCTTCAAGCAGAACTGTAGTTCTTAATTCCTTACACCATTCAGTTTTAACAATTCCTTAGGCAGTCTCCTCTCTTATCTGATGAGATACCATGATACGTTTGTGTTCTTTTCTTGGTTTGATTTAAGTGAATGTTTTTGCACCTAGCCAAAGCTCATCTCCATTCTGCACTTAAGTCACATGAGGAAGCCATGAAAACAAGGCAGATCTGTCGCCACTGTAGAAAAATCACAGGTCTACAAAAGGTATGCTTCATCTTTTTATGAAAGTGTGCAGTGATCAACAACCACCCATAATAAAATATAATTTCAAACTATTCTCCTCTCAGGAGTACATTGGTAAACTGTAATGGAACCTGGAAAACAGCTTGGGGTAACGTAACCCAGAAAAGCGGGGGGGGGGGGGGGTACTGAAGGAAAGGAGTATCTCAGTACTCCTTGTCCTTACACATTATGAACACTGGGAGAATTAACTAAGCTCTGGCTTTATAGGCTGCTTGGCTAGTTTGTTCACAGATCTATTTTCTTGCCAATTATTGTTCAGATCTTGAGCAAAATAAGAGCCTTGGTGAATAAGACAAATGCAAACTTGAGGGGATGGGGTCAGGGGCGGGTTGGCTGGTGGGGTTGTTCTCACTCACTCCTCATGTATGTTGATCTTAGAAGCAAAGGCAAAAAAAATGGCTGTGGACAGACTTAGGCTAGTCTGCAAGATCATTGATTGTATTGTTCTAGACTAAGTAAACAGTCAAGCAATTTTATTATGCATTTCTTAGGCTCTTCAAGATGCACGGATCATGACCACAGAAACATTAGTGGCTATGGAAGAAGAAGATGACTTTGATGACCCCTTAACATCAACCCCTGTGAAAGGTCAGCTTAGAAATCTTATTAAATGTGCCCCTTTTTATCCTGTTAATGTCTGAGAACCTCCAAATGTTCTGTAATCATAGTTTCAAACTATCCAAATTTAATCCTTTATTGGACAAATTTAATAACAGTAAAGAATAATAGCTTGACTGAGCAATGTGGTCTAATCACAACTGACCCCTATATATTTAATAAGTAATAGGACTACATGCTTGTCCAGTTTTGAAAATAACTGTGGATTAAAAAAATTCCCCTGACAGCCAAGTTGGTCAAGGCTGTAGGCCAAGTCCAATTTTGGCTGTCCTGAGATTTTTTTTTTCATCCAATTATTCCAAATTGGACAGCATGTAGTCCTATTATATATACATATTATTGTTTTTTTTCTCCCACAGCTATAACAAATTATAAAGCAGCATGTGTTGCTCCCAATTTTAGCCAAGCATCTGTAGAAGACTTGTTTCATAGACTGGTGAGATATTAATACCTAAGATATATTCTTACATTACTAATTAAAGCAAGTTTTTTTTCTCAGTGTTGTAGAACCAAACCAAGGTACTCAAAAATAATGCAAAATAAGAAAAAAGACATTTTCAATTTTCACCAAGGGCGAGAGAACAGTAAAAGAGTACAGTAAAAGTAAAAGTGATGCAATTATGGACTTCATCTTCTAAACTCAACTGAAATTTTTTTTTCCTTTGTGATGAACCTTCCTGTCAATTTTGATATAATTATTATAAGAATTGATCAGTTAGAGAGTGGCCTGTCATGAGCTTTTTTAAAATGCTTCCAGGGTCCTGTGCATGTATTCAATGCTAATTTAGAGTGGAGTGCACCAAAAAGTGTTGAACTAAAGAAAACGGACAAAGGATATGGCTTCAGCGTGATAGGCTCTGCCCCAGTTATTATTCAAAGTGTAGAGGGGCAAGGACCTGCAAAGGTTTGTTCAATAACTGTAAATTTCTTTTGTCATAATAATAATAATAATAATATAATAATAATAATAACTTTATTTCAGTGTCAAACTTCTAGCCAGCCCGTAACAGGCTCACTAATTGGGGACACACAAAATGAAAATAAACTTTAAATTAAACAAATTTAAATAATGATGGTTTTTGAGGAGAGGGGAAAACCTGAGTACCTGGAGAAAAACCTCTCGGAGCAGAGTAGAGAACTAACAAACTCACTCCACTTATGACACCGGGTCTGCATGGGAATCGAACCCGGGACACATTGGTGGAAGGCGAGCGCTCTCACCACTGTGCCAACCCTCCTCCCTCATCCCTTTGGGCTGCATTTTCATGGATACAAATGACATCTGTTAGCATTTTTGTAAACTTCATTGTGATAATTTTCAGTTTTATGTCCTTTTCAGGATGCTGGAATTCAAGTAGGAGACATAATCACAGCTGTAAATCAGACTGACTGCAAATGGGGTGATCATTCTTCTGTTGTGTCCTTAATTCGTAATACAGAGACTTGTGTCATGCTCGAGACTGTAACACCCTCCTCTCTGCAGCACATAGCTTCATTGTACAATGTTAAGCTAGCAAGGGATGATCAAGTGGTAACCAGTGACTATAGTGGCTCTATAGGTAGTCACAGTTCAGGATCATCCAGAAACAGTACGCTCAATGGGTTAAGCTCCCAAGCAAGTAGTAGCTCATCTGGATCAACAAAATCTGGTACTCCTGTTCGACAGAGTGTGCTGCTGAACATGGGCAATGAGTCAATTTTGTGGTAACCAACTGAAATAAATCCACTTGGAATCAGAATATTGGCAATGTTGTGGCACATGCCCTTTGCTTCAGCTCAGAAAATGCAAACATCTGAGCCTAATTTCATTCATTCTAGAGCAAGTGCTTTTCAATTGAATGATGTAAGACCAAAACCATAGCCAAAATCAGTGATCTTAGCAGCCAATCAGAACTAAGAAACATCACGAGGCCACTGAGAATTCAAAGGAAAAAAGAGCACACTCTTGGTAATTCAAAATTCCAAGTCACCACTTGTTGTGGGTTGTTTTTCATCTGATTGGTTGAGGGTGGCATGTTTTCTAGACTAATCACATAAGGTAGTAGAATAAAATCAATTTGATCCTGGATTGCCTTCATCATTCATTTGAAATTTACTCTGATATGAATGGTCATGGCATTTAGCTAATGTTGAGCAACAATTGTGATTGTGTTTCTAAACTTTTCCTGAATGTGCATCTAGTGGGCACTGGGAAGCAGGTCAGTGGTGAAGTGCTGCAAGCACTGAACTCCTGCCTCTGGGGTCAGGTGTGAGTACTGGAATTGTCGTTATCAAAGAGCTAACCATGTACTTGTTCCTGGCCCTTGCTCAGGGAGTTTTTCTTTGAGGGAGCTCACCAATTTTTCCTATCCATGAAACCCACTACTTGAAATCCAATTTGATCAGAAATGGGGAGCAAAGAGCCACAGAGAATAGATGCTGCTATTTAATCTGGTTATTTTATTATAATTATATTATTTATTTATCTTGTTAGCTTGGGATATCAAAACAATTCAACCAACTATTGATGGAAATTAGCTGGATATTTGCTTGTTGAAGGCCAGGTTTGGTCTCTGAGAACACTTGTAGACTACATGTAGTGTGTTTTTTATTGTGGGGTGAAGGTTTAGGATGACTAGATATAATATATGAGGATCGACACAAGGTTTGGACATGACAGCATGTGATACTCCTTTTGGTCCATACCATGCTTTTGTTCTCCTTCCTGGGATTGGAGCTCGAAGTCTTTGTTGGAGCACATATTTCTTACCTTTAATTTATGTCAGCAAACATTGTAGCTTCTTGTTTTAAGTCCTGCTTTGGTATAAATATTAATGTTATCAGCAGATGGACAAACACTAAGTAATACAGAAACAATCTGTTCAGGAAGGAAGGCTCTACTCAAGAACTCTTTGTTTGCATATTTTTTTGTTTGATTTTGTATTTGCTTTGCTATAATTATAATTATTTTCGATTAATCAATTTTTTTATAAGTTTTTGTTAAAGTCAAAGTCAAAATATTTTCAACAAACATAGAGTAAGTCATTCATCAAAAATTGATTTCTTTTTATGGATATCATTTGAAATAGGTCTGCTCCAGTCATGGATCACAGAATAGGTATTTTTTACTTTGCTAAAATATGGATGTTTATCACAGAGAATTTATAATATATTTTGTATAAAACTTGTATTAATCAGTAAATGTTAAAAACATTAGGAACATCAATAAATGTTCATGGTCGTAACACAACAAATAAAATACTTAACCGTGCTAAGCCAATATGTATATAGACTCTGTGTAATTCTTCATTCTTTTTCCCTTAGTGCTTGCTTCCTCTTTAGACAATAGAGAGGGTGCTGACGCCTCCTTGGCATACAGTTTAGTTTGAATTGAAGGTCTACAAGCCTAGCAGTTGGACAGTTTCTGTTTCTTCCAGGTTTTCTGTTTCTTTTATTGTTTGGTTAGAAATGTCAAGCAATTCTAAAATAATTATTATCGTTACCCTTTTTTTGAAATACCTAACCTTAGCAACTAAAAAAAATCGCCATGTTCTCCCCCCCTTATTAAAACGTCTGGATCTCTGGTTTACATGTTTGTAATCATAATTACAGTTGTCAATGACTTGAAAATATTATAAAGGCTGGATGAAATAGGGCCATAATATGAACATTAAATTGAGTTTAATTTTTCTATTAAATTATATTATAACATTTACCGAATCAAAATATGGCGTCCAATTTGAATTACCATTGTTTTTTACTTACTAGCCTCATCTTCATGTGGAAAACACAAAAGGATTATCACATGTGTGAGAGGCTAGTAAGTCCAGAACAATGGCAATTCAAATAGGACGCCATATTTCGATTCGGTGCATAAAGGAAATTATCTTCAATGTGAGGGACTTAGATACTTAAACCATTTCTCCTTGTCGGTTCCTTAAGGAAATGTATAAAGAAGGGAATGGAGAATATGGATACTGATGGTTGGGTGTTATTCGTTGATGGTGTTTTCTTCTCAGGTTTAGAAAATCCTACACAGCTAGCTCTTCATACTGGATTTATCTGATTGGTCAATTTAGCATCCCCCATTTGCCCATGGGTGTACACTGCTGACGTGAGCAGATGCAAAGACCTTTTTTCCGCGCATGCTTGTTTTTTCTGGTCACGTAAGATTTGTTAAATAAAAGAGAACTCTTAAGCTACAATGTATCAATGGTTATAAAACAAATGGTAAACACCACAGCATACACTGTGGAGGCGAGGTGGCCTCATGGTTGGTGCGCTCGACTCCGGATCGAGTGGTCCGGGTTCGAGCCCCGGCTGGGACATTGTGTTGTGTTCTAAGGCAAGACACTTTACTCTCACAGTGCCTCTCTCCACCCAGGTGTATAAATGGGTACTGGCAATTTAATGCGGGGGGTAACCCTGCGATGGACTAGCATCCCATCCAGGGGGGAGTAGAAATACTCCTAGTCGTTTCATTCCACAGAAACCGGAGTTAAGCACCAGCCTAATGGGCCACTAGGCTCATAAACAGACTTTACTTACAGCGTACACTACTGAGTTATGGATGCACTTGGGAGGTTTGCTAAGCACTTAAGAAGCTAGAGTCGCTCTCAGCTATCGCCTCAAGTGACTCTTAGCAACCTCCCGCATGCATCCATAACTCAATAGTGTACGCTGTGGTGTTTACCATTTTGTTAATTGTCAACGCTTAAAAAAAGCCATCTGTATCTCTACGCTGATACAAAAGAAGGGAATATTTGGGGAAAATCTAAATTAGACTTCGTTCAAGTAAATTATGTCCATTTCTTGCCTGTTTATGTGAAGTGTGTAGTTCAAAAGAATTATGGATTTTAAAGTCAGAAATAGACCACTTTCATAAATGGCTGCGGGATTAATATTCTTTTGTTTAAATTTGAATTAGCCTTTCTGGCCTCATTCTACAATGTATTCAAAAGAATACATTATCTCAAGCAAGGCCAGAAGGGTTAATTTAAATTTAAACAAAGGAATATTATCTGGCAGCCATTTATGAAAGTGGTCTATAGGTGAGGTTTTTTAATGTACCTTAAGCTTTGTAAACAAAGTTATGGAAGAGAGACTTTCAGATATAGAGTGTGAACTAAATGATTTGCACAACACGAAGTCTGTTGAAGTACCGTTAAGAGGCATCTTAGAATATGAAAGTCATTAAAGACCACAGACAATGAAAACAACAAGCAGCTCTACTTGGAATGACCATATGGATAAAACTGAAGGAGTCTTCTATGTTCAGTATACTTAAAAAATGTGCAAGTTCTTGAGAAATTTTTTTCTGAGGAAATTTAGAAGAATAGCTAAATTATAAAAGCATTTTGATTGGTTCTACTGGAGGACAGAGAAATAGATAAAATCACCATCATTAACAATTTTTTGCTTCTTTATTATATAAAACAAATAGATTCCATGTTGCCCCATGTGGGGTCTATAGTAGATCACAGATGTGTCGAAATGTGGTAAGAACAGCTGGACTCTCCCAGCTGTACCTAACCTGCCACTTTCTTGTTCTCAACACATTTTTACAACATCTGTGATCTGTTACCGAACCCATGCATGGGAATCTATTTGTTGAATTGACAGCTGTAATTATACAAACTAACTCAAAGTTGTAAAACATTACCAAAAGTAAAAAGTTGATGGCACTGAAAGAAGCGAATTAATATTATCATGCACACTTTGAACTCTTCAAATATAATGTTAAATTACTAGCAACTGAGAAAATTACAAAAAATATCTGCCAAACAAGCTATCTATGCAAAATTATATATGCTTAATCTAACATGCACTTTGATTGTTACTACTTATGATATATTTAATAACAGATGCATAGACAATGTCACCATTGAAAACTTTTTTCCTTATTTATGAAAAACAAATAGATTCCATGTTACTGAGCATCTGTTAAGTAATCAGTCACTGAAGACATCAGAATGATTTAAGAACATCACTGCCACTCGGCTGTGTCTTGGAAGCCATTTTTTTGTTCTTACTGCATCTTTAGATCATCTGAACACACCAGTGGCAACATGGAATATCTATTTGTGAAGTTGACAGCTTTATTCATACAAACTAACTCAGAAAATTGTAAAAAATGATTACCGGAGGTAAAACGTACATAACTTTGAAATAAGATAGATTAACACCATTGTGTGTACTTTGAACACCTTGTCAGGATGTAATGTGTGAATCAATTTGAAGCCCTGTTCCGAGCAACTCCCCAAGCATTTGAGCTTTTGAAGATTAGTCCACTCAAATTCCTGGCCCCTCAGGGCTAAAATTGTGTTCAAATGTCCCACCCGTGCCAAGTGCCAGAGTCAATCGTCAATTTTTTTGTAAAAGGCAAGATTAGCAACCCCGATGTCCTTGTAGACCTTTTTTCATGAGCCATTTGCTTGTGAAAGTGAACTTTTTACCTTTAATTATATCTCCATGTTAAAAGGTAAAACACATTTATTTGCTGGAAAGATTTGACAGTTCCAGTTCAAATTCCCCAACCTACCCAGGCAAGATTCAAATTCCCCAACCCCCCCAGGCATGGACAACAGTCAAGTACCTGAGGGTTGCCCAAGAGGGGAGGGGGAATGTTGACGCTTGTAACTGATTGGCACAATATTTATGTCAAATTACTAATAAGGGAGAAAATGACAAAACGAATCTGAGGAATCACTCATGTCAAACAATATCCTGTGCCAAATGCTGGGTAGCTATTGTGAGAAATCTTGATGTCCTACTCGTTCAACAGCAACATAAAACTTCGTCTTGTCATTAATGTCGTGCCATCCTATTGGTCCACACTCACAATCAGCACAAGCTAAATATTTGATTGAATCCACAGTCATTGAAAAGCCAACATTTTCGAAAGTGAACATATCTGAGACCATCCAGTGTTTTTTAAGGATTTCACCTTGATGTTCTTCAGCGCCAGCAAAGTCCTTCTTTTTCTGCATGAAAGGCAAGAATAGCTGTATGAAGAGAAAAAAAAATGATCGTTTTTTCATGAATTGTAACTAACATAAATTCAATGAATTGTAGGGTTCAATTTTAAAGATGGATGAATGAGTTATTTTGACTTTGGAGATTCGGTACCTCTCTTTCTTCGTGACTGGCCGAGCAAGGTCGTAGAACTTTTGATCCACACAACTTGCACACCACCCATTTCTTGTTCTTTCCATTCTCAATGATATCATGCATCTTTCTCTTTTTAAAGTTAGTAATTGGTTTCTTCTCTCTTCCGGCTACAATGCTTCAAGGTTGAAAACTTCCAGGCGTTACAACGGCGCGGTTAGATAAGCATAGAGAAGCTGGAACCAATTTTAGAGACAAGGAGGGTTCCTGGGAGCGAGGGCTTCAATCGTAGAGAAAACACATCCCCATAATCCCTTGCGCCTTGGGGGGTAACCAGTCTGACAACAAAGATAAGGACGCCATATCTGTATTTCATTCTACACGAAAACCGGGTATAATTGATTTTGGAAGCTGCTCTATTAATATTGTCACTCTTTGCGAGGATGTCTGATTCACTACAGTGCAAGATTCACGTTTCAAGAATTACCAACGAGGTCTTTTTACTTTTACATAATTTTTGAACTGCTCAAAATATTCTTCCAGTCTGTCTTGCAAAGTTATCTAACAAATTTGAAAAGTACTAAATGAGGCCTAGCGGATAGCATTACGTCTATTTCTATACTTAGTTCGTGCTGAGTTGCTTAGTCACTGTTCCGGAGGTCACATAATACAACCAATACGTGACGCATTTCTTAAAACAAACCAATCAAAGACCGCTATACTACGTCATTCGCCTTGAACAAGGTGTGAAAAATTCGAAGCCCGGCGGATTATTAAAGTTAGTCTAAGAGTGAAACTTTTAACGTGATTGGTAAAACTTAAAGGTGTTGTTGGGAAGTAGAACGATGGCAACAGCTATAACCGAAGATATCCGAGGAGACAATAATCGAAGGTAGCGATAAGTTACGTTAATTCGTGAATCTGTAAAATGAAGATTTTCTTACTTGAATCTCTTTGTTTACATTTTGCAGTGTAGTTGCATCATCTGTAGAACTCGAGAGATCAAGATGCTGGTTTCAGAGAAGATGTTCATGGCGACCAACCTCTGAAAGATTGCTGGAAGTTGCAGAGTCCAGAATTTGGAAATGTAAGTTTTCGATCTTTTGATTCACGTACAAGCAAGGGCAAGCCAAATGAAATGTTGGCAGTGTTCCTTGTTAGTTCCCCGCCCGGCGAGGGGCTCATCGTAACTTTGCAACAGTATACAGGTGCAGGCTCTAGAAAACCACAAATGGGGCCTCGTTAAATTAACTTAGTGCCAGTGCCTGCGGGTAAAGTCTATCAGCGTTACTAAGTTGTGTTTTCGGTTTATGGCCTTTCATATGGAAAAACTAATGAAGATGGAAGAGTAAAATCCTTTATTAAGTTGGGCCATTCCATTTAATATCCACACCCCCCCTATTGAAGGCCTGGGATTTCTTAAGGGGAGGGGGGTCAATGCTATATTTTTTCTTAGGGGGGTTGAACGATATTTCTGAGAGGGGTCGCAATAAAGTACCCTTGACAGAAATTCTCATGAGTAGTTTCTGAAGGGGGTTCAATTGGTTTGCTTAATATTAGCTACATAAAATTCTGAAGGGGGTAATTTCAGGCAATTCTTAAGGGGGTTAAAAAATTTCTTTTCTGGAGGGGTGTTACAGGAAAGTCTTCAATTGGGGGGTGCGGATTTTAAATGGAATGGCCCGTTTATCCCAGTCATTGGGCCACAAGGTTCATTTGACAACATGGTTACTTGTAGATAACGACGACTGCGCAAATGCATCTTCTTGCGCAAAAAACAAAACAAAACAAAGCAAAAATAAGAGGCAAATTGGAATTTAGCAAAAAGATGGGTGAAGCGATATCAGCCCCACTGACCAGGTTCATTAATGAAGAGACCTTCAGAGTAAGGTGACATTAACTTTGCCCAAAATGTCTACGTCATTTGCCAAAGTTTATCAAAATAATAAATTAATATTTAGCACAACAGCGACTTTCAATTGACAACAGTGAACACAAAATATTTACCATGATCTATTTATTAGGTATTGGATCATGAAGGCATTAATTGCTATAGCCTCAAGTCATGGAAGTTAACATTATTTTACCACATGATTGTGTTTCCATATAGTTGTTAAGTCTCGTTATGAGGGTAAATATGTGCCTGTGGAAAAAGATGAAAAGATATGGACCTTAAAGTTTAATCCTAATGCAACTAAAGCACCACTGGTCATGATTCACGGCTTCGGAGGAGGTGCAGGCCTGTGGGCAATGAACATTGATGCCTTGGCAAAACATAGGACTGTCTATGCAATTGATGTATTAGGATTTGGCCGCAGCTCACGACCACAGCTTAGTGGAGACCCACAAGAAGCTGAAGAACAATTTGTTAAGTCAATTGAACAATGGCGGCAGGAAATTGGGATAGAAAAGTTTGTTCTCCTAGGACACAGCTTTGGTGGCTTTCTGGCAAGTTCCTATGCATTAAAACATCCTTCCAGAGTTCAACATCTCATCTTGGCAGATTCCTGGGGGTATTCAGAGAAACCAGAAAAATTACAGTACAATATTCCAACATGGGTGAAGATTGTGGCAACTCTTATCCGTCCATTCAACCCACTGGCAGGACTGCGAGCTGCAGGTCCATGGGGTAAGTTATAAACAATTAAATCTGTTCTTATTGGTTACACATTTTATGATTAAAAAATTTTTATTTGGGTTTCACTCCCAACCAATTCAGATCTCTTATTTAGTTTCTTTCTTCCCTGAAAACTTACCAATAGTGGTTTTAGTAATCTTCCTTAACAAGGAGTTTCTTTTTTATTGTGTACATTCAAAGTGTACATTCAAATTAATTGAATGTACACTTTGATTAAATGCTCTTATTAGCAGAGGTCCTTTGAAAATAAAGTACATTATTACTGATTGTGTAAAATTGAACTTGGAGATTATAGTGAAGTGAGTTTCAAATGCATCCTAGAAGTAAAAAAATATCATAGATGGAAGGAATCCATTTGATTACAACATGTCTGGCCATAATGAAGATAAATGTTACTCACAAAAATACATTTAAAGTGATATGCAAGTTTTGTTTTGTCTTGTAGGCCCATCACTGGTGCAGAAATTTAGGCCTGACCTTCAAGGGAAATTTGCTGGTCTTTTGGAAGATGACACCATTTTCAACTACATTTACCACTGTAATGCTCAGAAACCAAGGTGAATACAAGAACAGAATAATGTGTTATGAAAGTCAGCAAAAGCCCTTCTCCCCCATTAAGCCACTTCTCTAAAGAGCTCCTCTTTCCATAAACTTTCCTCTCAATTTTGCCCCTCACAACTACCCTTCTCTTTAATAAACCCCCCTCTCAAGTGTACCTTTCTGGAAATTTCCCCCTCTCCAATACACCCTTTCTCCAATTATAATCTCATTATAAAGGCCCAGAAATAAATAAATAAACCCTGCAAGCCCACAAAGGTTTACTTGTGTCTTGATAAATGATGATAAGATAAATAAATAAATGGGATTTGGTGGTGGACTTTTCACAAGGTGGCTCTTCTTGTCCACTGTTTCAAGGTTGAATTGGAATTTAGAATGTTGGTTTTTGTGTCTTTTTCAGTATGAGGAAATAAGTTTGTGAAAACTCTCTCAGACAACATGGCTGATTCTTTTCTTTTTTCAGTGGTGAAACAGCTTTCAAGAGGATGTCAGAGATGTATGGCTGGGCAAAGTATCCCATGATTCACAGGATTGGGGAAATGGACAAAAACATTCCAATGACAATGATTCATGGCTCAGAGTCTTGGATAGATTGTTCACCCAGCTATCAAATTAAAAATAGTCGCAGTGGTTATGTTGATATACAAGTGATTACTCATGCTGGACACCATGTTTATGCAGATCAGCCATGGGCATTCAACCAAGCTGTGAATAAAGTTTGTCACAGAGAGGATAAACTTATTACTGTGACTATTAACTGAACCGAGGCTCACAGCCATTAAACATGTAAAATAATGGGGGTATTACTGAGACTTCAATTATTAATATCTCTCTAGTGATTGAACATAACAGTAACCAAGTCATTTCTGCTTGAAGCTGACTTGTTCAGTAAGACATTTGTGTCAACAATCATTACACTAACTTAAAGTTAAACTTAGAAATCTGCCTATTAAATACCAGTACCTAATTTTGATAATCACATTGGCTAGAAAATCACAGAAAATTTGGAGAAGAATTTGGGTTTGAATAACCCAACATTTAAAACTAAGCAGTTGACATCGTGATGTCCTTTTCAAAGGTTTTGGTCTGGGGAGATGAATACGAGCAGCCAGGCTGTCTAACATATTTATGCATGTATTAGCTAAGGTATGGAACACCGTTTGTAGCAAAATTCAATCTAGTCAAATATTTATTCAATCTAATCATTTTGGCGTGATACAATTTAATTCAATCTTCTAAACATATTCAAACAATCGGAAAAAGCATTCAGTTCAAACCCATGTTTTTCAGTTTAATTTAATAAGAGTGAATATTTATTCAGTCCAATCACAGAAATATCTATTCAATCCAATCACAGAAATATAGTTATTCAATCCACTCAAAAACATATTCAATGCAATCCTCTAGAAATTCATTCAATCTTCCTGGGGCCAGCACGGCCAAACCTGGCTTGTAGGGGACTTGGAATAGAAACCATAACTTGAAAATGGCAGACATTGGTGCTTTTATTTAGAAACTGATCTTCCCAAGTTTTTGGAGTCTGTTCTTCAAAATGCAGAAATTGTTTTACAAAACATTGATAGTGAAACTCAAGTAGACGCAGAAATGCATTTTGAAGTAGTAGTTCAAACTGTTTCTTTGATTTGAGCATTGCAAGAGACAAGTGACATCCAACCATCGGACATAAGATATCGCAGCATGCTCACTGTTAGGTTCTGAGAATACAGTAAAGACTCAAGTTACTGTTAAAATTTGATAATTTTGATGTTCTGTTTCATGCATACTGTACATTTCAGTCTGCCCAGGGAAGGTAAATCAAATGTATTGTATACCATACTTACCCAAGTAATAAAAATGGCATGTTAAAATACTGGTACACACCCCATTTCTGGTTTCTTAGGAGAATTTATTTGAAATGTGTTAAAGGACTTCAACAACGAGGCCTGTAGGCTGGATGTGATATAAACGAAGCACAATGGGAGAGGGGTTTGAAGCAGATCAAGGTTCAAAAAGTGTATGGACTAAATCTCCAAGGCTGTGTGAGCATTTCATCAATGGAATATGCAGATCTTATTTTATGATAGTGTGTATGACATACAGGTAAATACAGTATATTTCACTTAGAAATCAAGACCCTATTTTCAAAATGAAGGTTTTACTGCAATAAATATGAAATTACAATAATTTTATATCCAAAAGTCTGACTGAAGTTGCAAAATCAAAGAGTTTAAAACCAGTATTTACTTTGAACACAACTATATCTACTTCTTGACTAGGTTGCACTAAAATGGTGAACAATGTAGGGTATTATTGCTCTTGAGGTTAAGAGAGTGCTGGCTAATCACTCATGAGCAGCCTGCAGTCATGGAAAGATCCAAAACATAGACTTGTGCAAACCATAATACCCTGTTCCCCACCTCCTTAACAAAGTTGATTGAATTTCCTTATTGACATGCATTGTAGAGGGGGAAGGGGAAAGTCTTCATAAGGTTGTTGAGCAAGTCCACTGCAAAATAATTGTTTAGAAAACAAATGATATTTCACTCACAAATCAATATTGATTTGGAGTTGTATAATTATATACACATTTTAAGTTAGAATATAATCAGAAATTGAATCAATAAATTTTTTAAACACATTTCAGATAAGTTCTTTTGCTGCAATTTGATATTTCTCTCATTGATATATGCATTGTTCTTCATTTATACATTTGGTCTTTTTCAAACTCGTTACACGTGGGATGCTGAGACTCCTTTAAAGCGCTAGAGGAGGCGGTGTGGCCGAGCGGTTAGGGTGCTGGACTTGTAATCCGGTGTCCCGGGTTCAAGTCCTCCACCCTGCCACTCATTGGATTTGTTCTCGGTTGCCTCTGGTTCAACTCCTCGGCTGTGCTCTGTGAATAGCCCACTGGTCTGCCTCCTGCCAGTGGGGATTTTTAAGCACTTTGTTAGTTTACATTGTGGCTGAAAAGCCCTTTTAAAGAGTAGCTTCAATTCACGTATTTACTTATTAAAATGAAACAATCATGATTTAAAATTTGGATGAGACACTCATGGTGTCTAGTCAGTTCACTCTGATCTGGAAGAAAATAAGTTAAATAACAGAAAAACTTACCATGCATTACCCTGCGAGCAGAGCCTTTTCTTCTTTTCTTCTCAACCCTCCAAGGGAAAAGGTTAGGGTTAACCTTTTTTCCTTTTCGATTCGAGGATGGGTTAAAAAGGCTCTGCTACACCATGCATGCATACATACCGACAAAACCATGCATGCATACATACTACACCATGCACATATACCGACAAAAAAAACCTTTAGGTAAGGACGAGAACCAACAACAAACTCAACCCAAAGGTGAGGCCAGGTCCGATCCTCGGGCTACTGGGAGACGCCTTCACAGTTGTTTTGCTCGGAACTGCTAAGAAATGAGCAAAGGTTGAAACTACACGTGCAGAGCTAGTACCCAGCTGCTAATTTGTTCTTTTGTTCCGCTACAACGCGTCGCCCCAGGTTACGGTCGTGATTTCCAGTTTTGAAAAGAAAATCGAACGCCTGATCGCAAGTCGTAGTGATATGATAGCTCCGAGTTTTCTTAAGATGAAGGGCTTAAAAAACCAGCAGCTGATGTCATAGATCGTATTAACAGCTGACCACAGAGTTAAAAAAAATACAATCCCTCGGGATTTAGTATCTTCCCGCCCAAATACAGCTTCCACTTGCGGTTCAAGGGTCATTAAATGCGCATGTGTGGTGGTGTTCGCGTGACGTAACAAAGATAAACAAGACACATGTTTCAATTTATGTCAGACATTGACGCATAGCTGTAAACAAAGAGGACAAATATGATGTGAAGAAAACGTGACCTGATTAATAACTCTTAGAATAACAAATGGAGGATACGAAAGATCAAAGGTAGAGTAATAATCAAGTGGTTGTAGTTCTTTAATCTATAGAAGGCTTTCTAAAGCAGATTGAGACCATTTTGTTTTGTTTTTCTTAGAAGTGTTGGCGAGACTGTATCGACCGCCGGCGCTTCCAGTTGGTTTTGTAACTGGTTTACATGGTCCCCAACCTCAGAGAAGCTGCTAGAGGAAGCAGAATCTCAAATATTACAAAGTGAGAGTTCAATAATCATTTTTTCTAAGAAATTTAATGGCTGATTTCACGATCAAACGAGTGAAACATCTCGTGTATTCTATTGTTACTTAAAAAGTTACGTCAGTTTGTGTAGATTGTTCAAGATCATCGCAAAGCTTTGACTTGTTCTTTCGCTTTACCGCCTTCACAGAACTACGCGCTGCAGTAGCCCTTTCTTTTTAATCACTGATTTTTTTTTCTACGTTGTACGTGTCCTGCACTGAATGATAATTTTGATCAACCGTCTGACCTTGAACTGCCCTTATTACATGCGTGTGCCAAAAAACTTATTACGTAACCAGTGATTCATGTTAAGAATCGTTGTGAGGAAGGACACTCTCTCGCATTAATTAGGCTTCCCTATTGGCTCATAGACCTCATAGTTAACTCATTCCTGCCAAAGCAATAATTTTTCGATTCTATTGTGATTGCATGTATCCCTTGATGCTTTCAGCGAAAAGAGAATTGAAAAATATAAATATTTTACTAACCATTTCACGTAGAATGCTAAATGTAAAGATCCGAGGCTATCAAAAAATGATAATCAAAGTGAAAGGGGGGTGATTATCAACTCACTATTTCTAATGAAACTTTCTCTTAGAAACCCAATCTTACTATGAGAGCCAATTTGTGCCGTTGGGAAATGGACAGAGGATATGGACCTTAAAATTCAGTCCAAAAGCTACTAGAGTACCACTGGTCCTGGTTCATGGGTTTGGAGGAGGTGTTGGTCTCTGGGCATTAAATTTTGATGCCCTCTCCAAGAACAGGTCTGTTTATGCATTTGATGTGCTGGGGTTTGGTCGCAGCTCGCGGCCTCAATTGAGTTCAGAGCCATTGGAAGCTGAAGAACAGTTTGTGGACTCCATTGAGAAATGGCGGGAGAAGGTCGGCCTGGAAAAGTTTGTTCTTTTGGGTCACAGCCTTGGTGGGTTCTTGGCAAGCTCCTATGCCTTGAAGTACCCTTCCAGAATCCAGCATCTGATCTTAGCTGATCCATGGGGATTTCCCGTGAAACCCACAGAAGATAATATGAATATACACATCCCTGTGTGGGTCAAATTCTTAGGAGCGGTTTTAAGTCCTTTTAATCCATTAGCTGGATTACGTGTGGCTGGTCCATGGGGTGAGTGAATTCATTAATTGCAAAGTTGATGCTCATCTTTTAACAGTGGATGCCAGTTTAAGACAAATCCTTGTGCAGCAAATTTTTGAGAGGGTGTGGGGCTAAAGACAAAGGTAAAAGTTTCAGCCAAAACAGCAAGTCCCAATATCCCATGAGTAATTCTTGTTACTGTCTGCCATATAATTCTTATGATGTTATTTTGGAGAATTAGGGATCGGATCGACCAATAATGCCTTAATTGAATTTTTCTTTATTCCAAGACATCAAGCTCCTATTTTTTTCCTATGTTTTTCCTATTTTTTGGCCTGCTTCCTAATTTCTTCCTATTTTTTGGCCACTGCCTTTCCTTTTTTCAGAGAGTCCTTGATACCCTTTTATTCCCATTTATGACTGCTTGATATTGTATTGATAACTAGGGAGAAAGTCTGTCTTGGTCACTCTTGAAAGTTAAAGGGTAAGGAGGTTCGGTGCTGCAACACAAGCTTTGCATATGAACCATGTAGGGGCCTGACATGGTAAGTGCGATCCTCATTGGCTCACACTAGATGGTTGAGGCAAAGAGCAAAAGGAAATAACTTCACTTATTGTAAAGTATATTTTATGTACTTTTATGAATATTTGATGTCACTTTTTCTTGTAATTTTTAGGTCCTTCTCTGGTGAGACAATTCAGACCTGATTTTCAAAGAAAGTTTTCCAGTATTCTGCCCGATGACACCATATTTAACTACATTTACCACTGCAATGCACAAGTACCTAGGTAAGAGAGATTTGGTGATGAGTAAAGGAGTTCTGTCATTGCCACCAAAACGGTTTTATTTACCACTGGTAATACCTACTTTATTTAGCAATGGAGAAAGGCACTGTGAGTGTTTATTGTCTTATCCAAGAAGACAATATAGAAACCTCAAGTAAGCTGAACTTCACATTGCTTCTGCCATTAGAGAGAATTAGCATGCATTTACATGAAACAGCAAATGTCAGCTTGCTCTTTCACGTTTCATGTGAAATAGCATAAACCTCGGTGCTTTAGCTTTGCCTTAGCTTACATTATGGTGGATTTGAAGGTACCCTTGTATGACCTACAAGGAATAGTTGTGGTGCCCTTTTTCTGGCAGTTAACTTCTGCTCTATTAGAGAAAAACTGAAAAAAAAATAGTACACGGCAAATGTGAAACAGGTTACTTCCACATAGAAACAGTGAAGTGCAACCAGCAAACATGAAAAAATGGCTGAAAATCAAGGTCTCATGGTCACTTTTGCCGTTCGCATTCACGTAAATGCGGTGCTAAATCTCTCTAATGGCAGAAACAATGTGAAGTTCAGCTCATTGGAAATTATGAAGTAATTGCTTGTGTATCATTCAGTGATCAACACTCAATAAAAGATTATTAATTTGATTGATATTCTCTACAGTGGAGAGACGGCTTTCAAGAACATGACCATTCCATACGGCTGGGCCAAGCATCCAATGATATATAGAATTGGTAATGTCAACAAAGTCGTTCCTATAACAATGATTTATGGATCAAGATCATGGATTGATCACAACACAGGAAAGGAAACCAAGGAGAGGCGCAGTGGTTGTTATGTAGATGTTCAGGTAATTAGTGGAGCAGGGCATCATGTCTACGTGGATAAACCCGACAAATTCAATGATTTAGTGGAGGGAATATGTCAAAATGTGGATAATGAAGATAGTGCAAAATAATTTAGTTTGGGACATGTACATTCAGTCTGTAAATAAGGTTGTCTTAATTGTAGCTTTAATTGTCAAGTTTCTAATTCAGTAAAATTTCATTGCTTCCAGAACTGCTTGAAAATTTTGTGGTTTCAATTTTTCTCATAATACTTATAGCCCTTAATCTACAAAAATTAGGTTCCCTCTGATTAATTTTTATGGTACATAGTGTCAGTTTCTATGCATTGCAAAGTTTGATATTTTAGTTTGCTTCTTTTCTTATTTAAGCATTGTACTTTCCTGAAAATTATTTTCCTAATCAGGCACAATATCTACTAAATAGAATTCCTGTCAGTATCCAGCAGTCCTAAATCTTCAGTAGAGTTATTGCCTCATTTATTCAGGTAATTAAGATTTAATATGATTCATGATAGGTTAATAATGAAACATTTCAGTTTTGAATGAATTGCAAGTGCTGCAATCAAGGTTTCAGTGTCAAGTTTCAATGTAAAATGGGCCTCATAACATTTTAAGTAATCCTTGGAAAATGATTTTTTTAAGAACAGTCTGGTCTTAAGCAACCAGAAACCATTGCATGAAACTTCATGAACTGAAATTCATAAAGTGGTCAATTGTCTGCCAATTATTTATTTATTTAGCAAATTGGAAAAACTGAAGAAATTTTATTTTGGGCCAGACAGAGGTTAAAGCCTGGTATCCTTGCTAAATTCTGGCTTTTACTCATTAACAATGAAATGAAAGTTATCAGTTGAGAGTACATGAATTATTCAGCTGCTATGTTAAGTTAATGATTCCGCTTCATTTTCATCAAATTGCCGCATGCTAAAAATGGAAATTGTGCTTAAGTGAATTTTTTATTTCAAATTATGGGTGTAGGTACTCTTTGATCTGAGTGTGTAAATTATTCAGTCAATAGTTCTTCACTGCTTGCTAAATCATTTAGCCAATATTACTATTAACTTATTAAATAAATTTTATTTTAATGTATAGCATAAAACAATTTGTGATGTAGTTTATAATAATACTTTCAACTGAAAGTAGTTAAGAAAAATTGCACACAATAGACATGAATTCAATTCTCAACATTAGTCAAGTTTAACAGGGTAATAAATTTGTTGTAGGGTTGTGATAAGTCATAATATTATACTATTCTTTTTAAATACATCTCTTAACTTAGTGTAACTGTGAAAACAATGGTCCTGTTTGGTGTTCAGTAAATTTTCTCTGCAATTTTCTAGACACTTTAATTTCTGCAAGAGCTTTGGGCACAATTTAATAAGTAAACAGGCACATTTTCCCTGATATTAAATGTAAACAGCTCCAGCTTCTCTATTGTTCTATGAAGTATTATGGCTGAGGGGGGAATTAGACAGATATTTTTTTTAATACAATAAACTGAAGGAAATGTACTCAGAACAACAATATTTTTTATATCCTTAATGTACATTGCATACTGTGAATTATAATGGGAAGATAATTAATGGTACATTTAGTTTTTAACTCTAATTATTATGTAGCCTACAATACATATAGCTAGGATCAATCTAGATTTCTGAGTAATACTGAATTGACCCATAGCTGGGAACTTAACACCGGAAAGTGGATAACTCATTTGTCACTCTGGTTATAAACATGCAGAATTCTGATGTTGTATTTCTTGAAAATAAAAATTTGTATTGCACATTTATGTTTGTATAGAATTTCCTCTTTCCACTATACAGGCTTGGATTGGTTTGACATTATTTTCAGTTGATTAAGTATAATTATATAATCGGCCTTCTGCATGACTCAGCTAAGTCTTTCTCTATTCAAAAGTGTCTAAATAACATAAAATACAGACAAGATCACCCATGAACACTTGTGAACATGGTTCTCATGTAGCTACAATCTGGTCGCAGATTATGAATAAGTTGGGAGAGAAAGATTCTTTGTTGTTCATAGGGCTAAAACGCGCCTCTTCCTCATAGTCAAGGGTGCGAAGATGTATTTTTTCCTTGATTGTCTTCTACTCACCCAACTGACAAAGTTAGAAAGGAGATATTATTTTATACACACCAGAAATTCTAACAAAATCCTCCCAGTTACTTTTAGAATATAATAGGCAAATTTTGAAAAAAATTACAAAACAAAGAATTCCCAAAAACTAATTTCTTGCCTTCTTGTAAAATTTATGCATCACATATTGATTTTGGCCTCAATCACATGTCACAGACAAACCCATTGCCACTCTTGTTGCTGAATTTCTATTTATGACAATATTAGACAACTTTTTGACAATTAAAAGCCAACTGCAAGCTATAATTTGTACAATGATCTTGCTTTGTGTATCCTCTTTTTATGGAACATTAACATTTGGTCTCTGTTGTGGTAGAATGTTCCTTGCCCTGAAATAGTCTGTCAGTTGCTTGGGCACCTCAGCCAAGACTTCTTTTGCTAATGCAGCAGGAGAAACCTAAAACACAAGCTTGTTGCTCAGTAATATTAATCATGCCTTGAATTCTCAGTTGACAAATAATTTATATTCATTACTTTCATAGTATGGCTAGCCCTACATGTGGGCAAGATGAAATGAATTCTGTTTTGCTTCACTGAATAAGCAAATCTGCTCTACCTGTCCTGTTTTGAAATGATCACTGTGTTCCCCCAGTAAGATACATCCTTAGTTTATAAGCTGGCTTTCTTCTTCATGAAAAAGATGTAAAACTCAGGCTTTTTTTCATTTTATAGACCCTAATTTCAACTTTGCCCACAACACAGACACACCTACACAAAGTGACTTTTATAATGTATACAGCCACCCTGGCCACCTAACTGGTCAATAACTTAGACATACATTTCAGTGTAAGGGGCTTCCAATTGTATCATACCTGAAGAGGACAATTCTTTCATTTGACAGTGACATTCTAGAATATCGTTACACCTGTCCAATACATATATCCCAAGGATAGGGGTGAAAGGAAATTTCAAAAGAGGGACTGGCCTCTGGTGTTGAAATCCTTTATGTGAGTTCACTTGCTTTTCAGGCAATCCAGAAATCCAAGCATAAGAATTATGTGTTTCCTAAGTATTGAAAAATCATTTGAATTACAAAGCTTACATTTTTAAATTTCCTATAGGGTACAAATTGAACAATGTCCCTTTGAGCTGCCTTTCCGTGAGCCATCAACCTGCTGGCAAAAAGGAGAATAATATTATCTAGTTTACTACATTCAAGTAATAATTCTAATATGTATCTGCATTTTCTGGTAAAACAATTGTTGAATCTAGTACTCAGGTTCACTATACTTCACTTAATATGGATCACATAAAATTAAAGTGACCCATACATGAGTCTGAATTAACTCTGATTTTTATGCAGATCTGGATACATGTAACACTGCAACTGAATATAATCAACTACCTTTTACTCAACTTGTTAACCTGTGCATATATATTGCAGCATATAAGCAGTGATTTTGCTCACTAGCTTTACTCAGTGGGAAGAACTTGAGCTCCAGTGCCTGTGAAAGCCTGCTTATAGGCTGCTAAGACATGTGGATCTCAATGCAACAGTATGCAAGAATGGGAGTCTTCGCCATGATTGTATGTATGAGCTGCATTGCAGCACAGACACTTTCATTGATATATTGATGCAAATTATAAGAAGATTTATGACAAAACACCTAAATTGAATTACAAATAGGTCAGTTGAGCAGGAAATAATAACTCGACTGAATGAATAAGAACTTACACTTGGTCGTCACTATCTAGTTCCTCCATCATTGCAAAGTCTGCACTTCCAACACCCACAATAATGATTGACATGGGAAGTGATGATGCTGCCACTACAGCCTCCTTGGTCTGATCCATATCTGTGATTACACCATCAGTCAATAAGAGCAGTATGAAGTAGTTCTAAAAAGGCAATTCAGGTAAAATGATAAGTTCATTTTCAGGTAAAATGATAAGTTGATGTCAATGTGGTATAGGTTAGCTACCATAAATCCTCTATTAAGCCCCCCTCCTAATTAGCCACCCCCCCCTGTAACAAAACCCCTCTCTAATAAGCTAATTCCCTCTAATAAACCACCCCCCTCTAATAAGTCCCTCTTTGGAGGAAGAAATTTATGAAGCCCCCCCTCTATTAAGCCCCCCTCCCCTCCCCCTCAAAGAACAAAACTTCAAAAATAACACAGTGACTCCATATCAGTAAGTACAATAAATCTATTCAGACAAGTATTGTAATTTTAGTTCATTTGACTTAAGTTTGCTGTTTTGTTGTGTTTCTGCTTTAATACTGATTTACAAGATGATTATGACAAATCCTTCAACTCATCAGACTTTACTGAGGATTTTGACTCTGTCAGTTTGATAAATGAAAAAATGTAAAATGAGAACAATTTTTGAAGTAATAATGGTACATCATATCCCACTGTATCCTGGTGGTGAATGTCAGGCTAAATTAATAGCCCATCCCCTCTCGTAAGCCCCCCCCCTCCCTCCCAAAGTATCTGAAATAAATCAGCCCTCAGGGGTCTTATTAGAGGATTTACAGTATACTCTAGGTCACACCCACTCTCGTCAAGTCTTGATAAATTAAAATCAAGAGGCACAAAAATTGAGTACATACAATTTAAATTTTATGTGTTGGATTAGATTATGCAATCCATGTCATTGTTTTAACAACTTACAGTGGCAGTTTGGGTCTGGGCTGCTTGATGTGCAAAGTGAGCCACATGGTTGATGATAGGTGAGATGTTGGTTGGACCATAAAGTTGTACACTCTGTATACAGGTTTGATAGGCTTGTACCAAACCAGCTAGACCTATAAAGTAACACAACTATAATGTTATAAATTAAAACTGCAGACTTTTCATTGTTAATATGATGGGGTTGTCACATTATCTGAATACTGTATGCTCTGGAAGCCTGGTGGGTTCCAAGGTAAAAAGTAAGAACTTCCAATAAATGCAACTCATTTAATCGTGTCTTAAGCGCCCCTTGAATTTACAACTAGTTCACAGTCAAGACATTTAATAATGATGACAAATAAATTACCCATAATTGAAGTTCACACCTGCACAATACGGATTACTGGGATTAAAATTCAGTGGAAACTGGTGAGAAACCTGAAAGGAAAAAAAAAATGGTTGGTGTGGCAGAAAAGGTTGACATATTTAGAATCTCATCACTCTTACAGACAACTATATATACAGGTAAACTTCAAAGTCAAGATTAAACTTCTACAATTTTAAAACAACTGCCTTAAGTTTATTAAAAGCTAGAGAGAAAAAACTTGAGAAGAAAAAAGTAATCCCTGGGGGAAAAATAAATACAACAACAGGCCTAAATGAAGAGGGGCAGTAAGAAACCTGTTTTTCAGATTTTTGAAAAAAAGTAAAAACTAAAGGTATTTTTAAAATGTTATTGACTAAATGTTCTCCTTGAAAAACCTACCTGATATGTGGGTGGAATTTTTGCTCCAAATCCAAAAGATGGAAAGAGTTTATCACTGGAAATATGAAGAAAATGACTTATAATCAACAAATACAAAACATATTTCCTCACATCAAGACATTTTTTTAAATCAACTTTGCTACATGTAACTTATTGTTAAGTTAACATAATTCCTTGATTAATATTTCCATTTTAGGGTTTGAATAGCGAGGCAAACAGAAAAAGGAAATTTAAGTGTCCTTTGCAGGAAGCTATGACTCAAGGCCAATAAGCTAGCTCTCAAACCTGGGGACTATTTCCAAAAAGTCCTTGTAACTTAACAGGCCTGAAGCCACATTTTAAAATCAAAAGTTAGATTAATAGAGAAGAAGGCTCTCACAACTTAACCAGTCCATTTTGTCTCTTTAGCTGCTAGTTTTAATGTATAATATTCTCAAACCTTTTGAGACCCCCATCTTGAATGAGAACAGAAGAGCTTTATGGGCCCATTAAATTACCAGGACCTTAAAAAAAAAACAGGCCCCTGAACCATTCAATCAGAAGTCAGGACTACAAACTAAATGCTAGGCCACCAAGTGATCACATTTTTTAGTGGTGTCGCCTCAGTGTGAAGAATTGCCAAATAAGTGTATTAGGTTTTCTAGACAAATAGTATGCAACTGTGTTCAAATCTAGTACGTATAGTTTACCTGTCATAATCCTGAATGATTTCTCCTACAGCTGTCAGGGCCTGCTGGTACTCATTTGGTGCGTAAGGGTTGATGTAGTGAAGAGATGTTGACTGGGTTGGTTCACCATTGGAAGCTGTAAAATCGATGCCAACCTGTTGGTTAATAAAAGAACACTGTATTTATTAAAAAGAAGTATTCCTTTGTTTATCTGTATTATTTTGTTATTTTTACTCAACATATGATTTCCTTTTCTTGTGATAGATGCGTGGGGCTTAAAATAACATTCAATTATTGTTGTTTAAAATTTCCAAATAGATTTAAAAAAAAAACAATCAGAAATGAGGCAGATACAAGTATCTTTCAGAATATTTGATAAGTTATTTAAATAGTGTACCTTATGCTCAAGATTGTCCCTCTACCCTCCCTTCTCTGCACTTCATTACTAACCCATTTAATCTGGCCAGAAGTGATAAAAATGTAACTTCTCATTACCATGTCTATACATTATCCAGCAAATAGGTGCTGAGAATATACAAATTTATCAGCTGGAGAAAATAACCTTGATGTATCACCAAATCATATTACTTAGATAACAAGGAAACCTTTAAGAACAAGCCACAAGAGAGAAATTTGAATCAATGTTCAGTTAATCACAGAGACAGGAGCAAATAATAAAGAACTCTTCCTGGATTTCTTATTTTCACCAAGTTAAAGTTAAACATAAAATAATGTACTTGTAACTTACCGTAAAGTTTAGCTGGCAGCCACCTTGAATAAAGTCTAGGAATGATGATACTTTCACAACCTATCGAGAGGAGAATTCTGATGATAATGATGACATAGCACAATTCAAAAGGATTAATAATCAGTTTAAGGGTTGAATCAGAGTGAAGGGTGATGGCAGAGATAAATTTTTAAAGAAACTGAATCATTTAAGAGGAACAATAACGTCTTTGATACTCACTGTACATATCTTCAAAAAAATAAAGAAAGTTAAGACATAATTACAATCATTATGATTTAAAAAATATCAAAATCAACTGAAAGAAAATTATAGAATAATAATTAAACCAACCTCACATTTCGCAAGAAAAATTACTCCTGAATTTTTGTAACCACGCTTTTTCTTCTGCTTCTTTTCATTAATACATGGCCACTAAAAATAGCAACATGATTAATAAATTATTTTGAATTCATTAAAAAATTCAACTGTAAGGCTGATTAAGTTTGATGATAATTTCACTACTCAGCTTTTATTGAGAGATCAAAATCATCTGAAGCAAATAAATGGTGACAGACATTGAGCTTTTAAAGATTTAATTTCAAATCTCAGATATTAAAGTCCTAGAAATTAAAGTGCCTATAACCCCCAAAAATTTTTTTGGGCCATATTAAATCTCTCTACTGAACTGAGAAAAATGCCGCAAAAATTTTTGTTTGGTTAAAACACGATTTTTTATGAATTTCAAAGTCATGGAAAATCACATTTTTTCGAAACATGACCGAGGCACAGAATTATCAAGATGGGTCTGGGTCAAGCACAGTTTGTGATATCATTCCAGGCTTTCCAAAGAGTTTGCTTCAAGGACTGGATGAAGTATCTTGACAGATATGCCTGATAATTAAATGTGTTGTTTTCGGGTGTAGCAACACTCCCAACAAAGAAAAAAGAATAGCACTCCATCCGATACCTTTTTATGGGGCAGATGACCCGGAGAAAAAAAAGAGAAGAAAGAAGTGGGTTGACTTTGTGCAATTGAAGCGTGAACATTGGAAGCCCACAAAATACTCGGCCGTGTGTTCCAACCACTTCCAAGAAGAAGACTATTTAGTCATGTTTTCTGCTCTGACTAGCAAGACCATGCAACGAAGGTTGCAAAAAGATGGAGTTGGAATTTGCATCTTTCCGACTGTTAATTCATGCGTAGAATGTTGAGGAAATGAAATCAGCTGAAAGCGAGCAAAGTAAGAGAAAGGTGAGAAAAATTTACCAGATCAGGCTTTAGCAAAGGTTTGATCTCAGTGGGAACGTATCATATTAACTGAGATTGGATCGGAGTGCCACTGCCAATGGCCTGGAATGACGTCACTATAGCCCCAGTCTCTGGTTCACTTGGTCGTTCCAAAAATACACCCAACTTTGAAAAATCATAAAAAATCGCGTTTTAACCAAACACAAAAATATTTGCGGCAGTTTGCTCAGTGCAATAGAGAGATTTAATATGGCCAAAAAAATTTTGGGGAGTTATAGGCACTTTAAAAGATTCCAAGAATCAAAAGGAGCTGACACTTCAACTTTCAGAAGGGACTAAAATGCAACCTTTCCTCACAATTTTAATACAGACAGTAAGGGAATAGACAATTTCGTTAGCAAGGTGTTATCTTGATGTCATATGGGACTTTTTTAATATCAAATCATTTTCAACAAAAAAATGTCTGGAACCTGAAGGAAAGAATAACTAAAATCAGATCCCAGATGTTACAGCTTTGGAAACTTAACACCAAAGAAAATTTGAACAACAATGTAAACACTAGATAAACATTTATGCAGACTTTTCTTTATGTACCTCCCTTGATGGTTGAGCTGAGCACATCTCACGAAGATTTGTTGTAAATGCACCAATAAAGTCATGTGATCCATCAGAATCCCAATCATAACACAAAATCTGAAAGAACAGTGATGGAAAATGTATGGGAACTTCCATGTCGAGGGAGTCACCCTGGGCATCCTTTCACAACACATACAATCACTATGGATCCTCTATTCAGGAGAAGTAGTAAAAAAGTGTTCCCAAAATGGAGGAACCTCTTCTAATCAATAAAGGTAACAAAAATAACAGAATTTCTTCTCAGGGGGCACACTCAGGACATAGTGTGAAGGTAATAGAGGAAAAGGGTACAACTGCTAGTGCTTTTTTATGACAAAACCAAAGTTTTGTCCTTTGAATGGGGTATCCACTTAAACAACACACACAACAAAATTAATATCTGCATCTACCACACAGTTTTCTAGTGTAAACAAAATGCATGTCAGTTGGATGGAGAGAGCTAGGATGTCTCCCTCTTTGCATACATTTCTAACACAAATTACTGGACAGGTGTATGTGCTCATTTAAATCGATGTCAGGGACAAAATAAAACTTACTCTAATGGTTCAAAATAAAACTTACTCGAATGGTTCTGTCGTAATCTCCATTGCATAACTGTTGCACTGGAATCTGAAATGGTTTCCATTTGGGATTCAAGTTGTTCTGAATAACCTGAGTGTATAAAGGTCGATAAAATAAAATTCTAATGAGAAGCATTGATGCCCTGCATTTTACCAATAAAAGTACATTGACTACCAATAACTGACCTCTGTCCTATGTACAACAACAAAACTCCCATCCTCCTTCGATCTTGCAAATTCTAAATAGGGGTCACTCTTTCCAAGGAAATCCTGGAAAAACAGAAAAGATGGAAACATTCATCCATTAGACTACCTTGACATTTAATTTCATGAAATAAAAAACTTGGCTAAGTTGAGGTAAAGTACGTTGATGTATAATATAATGTGGCCTTCTGGAAATAATTCATGATTAAATTAATGTCTCAAAGGCTTCTAAATAATATTCAGTATGTTTCATGCATAGTTACTCCCTACCATACAAAATGCAAAAAAAAAAAAAAAAGACACATCAGTCTGAAACTCACCTCAACAGTTTCTACATATAATTTGGCATGCTATCAGGTTTATGAGAATGTAGAAAATTATCAAACAGGGGGTACTGTTTGGCTGTAATCCTTATTCTTTCAACTGTTCAAATGAGAACTGTGTGATCCACCATAGGGAGAATTCAGCTTTCAGGAATTGAATGCAAAAGGACTAACAGCCCAGCCCTGATTTAGAAGTCTACACAGTAGTTGACTACTCCAAGCAACCTCTGCTGTCGAGTTCTGCTCAAAATTACAACATGTACTATTTGCCATACCACATGCCACTGACCTTCTTGTCCAACTTTTCAGCTCTAAACTGGAAATGCACTTCATCATTTCCACCTGAAACTTCTTCTGCTACCACCTGTTGATTGCAAAGAACAAATTAAAAGGAATAAAAATCTGTTGTGGAATAATTATATAGTTAAAATCTCACAATTGGGAGCAGATTAAATCACAAACTCAAAACTAATCACACAAATTTAACTAATACTATAATCTTCTAAATTTAGCATTTCCTCAATGTTATGTTTTTGTAATTGCAAAAAGTATAATTAACCCACCGTTATAATGCCAGCTTGATTCTGAGTAGTACCTTTAAGAACTAGAGGTTTTGTATAGGTTCCAGATGACACAAGCTGGAAACAAACATAAGAAAAAACAATCGTTTAAAATTCAGTTAAACACATCTTACTGCTTTGCATTAATTTCATAAAATGGACAGCTGTTAAATATGGCTAGCACCTGGGAAAATAGGTTTGAGCCCTTAATGCAGTTATAATTGTATAATATTTATAATACACTGTCGCAAGTCACTCAATTACTCTTACAGAGCTTCTCTCCATAAAGGAGTTAACATGCAGGTAATAGTAAATTGTCAGAGAAACTTTACTGCTCAAGGGTTATTCATGAAGGCCGAGGTCAATCAGTTGTGAAATCATCATCTACCTCATTGCCATCTCATCTATCAAAAATTAGGATAAGCTTCCATGGCCAGATAATTTGGTTTTATCAGCTGAATTGATAGAAGTAAGTTAGCCACAATAAACAGCTATGCTGACATTTCAAGTGTCAGCCCTTTGAAGCAAGGCCAGGGACTGTTAACTTGTGTGTAGCCCCTAGCAGCAAGGTGTAAAATTTTTTAAGGCTAACCTGACCCAAAGTGCACTCCATTTCCCCCAAGAAATCAGCAGACTTAAGACTCATTGATGGACTGTCAATGTCATAAATGAAAAACTTCAGCTTCTGCAGCTCCTCGAAAAAGTAGTCTATGATGATGGCTGTTGAAAATTGAGGATTCAATGTGTTATCCAACCTTTCTGTTCGTCCAACCTGTGAGTTAAAAAAAAATGTGGTAAAATGAATCTTTTTTTTTTTTACTGAAAGGAGCATAAATTCCCTAAATCAGCTAATTTCATGGATACAAAAAAACATTCACACCTATAAAAAAACATTTTTCTTTCTGAGATATATATGACAAACCTGTACTTGTCACTATCAATGACATAATGTACTACATTCAAAAATACACATTTCCTTTTAATTAATATTTCTTTCTTAATTCCCCAATATAACTGTAATGACCAAAATGGTGAACTACATATTGCATCTATTACCTAAAAGAATTATCAACTGTACAGCTGTAGATAGTAAATTGCAGTTACAGTTGTCAGAATAGTTCTTCTTTGGAAACAAAAACAAAAAAAAGAGGGTGATCTGAGTAGGCGGCAGACATGCACATGCAGTATTGACTTAAACGAAATTTTTGAAAGTTGTAATATAAACAGGAAGAGTTGAACTACAATGCATGCGTGATTGATAAGTCGGACTGGCCAAATTGTATTTAGAAAGGCCATGAAGCCATAACAAAAAATAAAGAAGTTCAAACCGCATGAATTTTCGCAACACTTTCAAAATCACAAGTAAGTGAGTAGGCAGCAGACACCTACATAAAATCTATTGACTTGAAACGAAATTTTTTGAAAGTTGTAAACAGGAAGATTTGAACTACAATTAAGAAACAATAAAAAAAATAAAGAAGTTCAAACGGTAAGAATTTTCACAAACACTTTCGAAATCACAAAAATATTTCTGTCATTAGTTCCCCATGAATTACAGAGTGATGTGTAATACCCTCATCATATATAAATTAACTGCTGGTTGCGTGGTCCAACGATCTGAAATGGTGTCTGGTCTTTTCGTCCGCTGAGGTTTTGGTATAATAACATAGAGGCGTGGTACTTTCTTGTAAAATTATAAACCTACAACTCGCTAAATAACTGCAAAACAAACAACCCAGATAATTAACTTATATCAAGACCCTTCCAGTTAGTGAGACCCTTGAGTTATTTCAGTTGACTGTTGACGGCGAAAGAAAAACATTCTGAAAGAAATCAAATATACACTTGTGTGTACTATTTACCTCAAACCAGCCACCATCTTTAAATGACATGACCACGGCCATTGGGTCAGACTTGGATAAGACATCTTTGTCTCGAAGATTTCTGCAAGAAATATTCAGCTGAACACGAGTAACAAACTGTGAAGTTGAAGGTGCAGTTGGAGGTACAGAAGAAGGTGGGTATGGAACCTGCATTTTCAGTTAGAACTTCGTTTCAGCTTCCTTTTGGGACGCTTAAAACTAGTCAAAAGATGAATACGCAGATCTCTAACAAGTTGGCAATGCACTTCCTTCTCTAAGAAATTCGAAAGTGACATCAACTGGAGGCATTAATTAAGCTTACGGCTAGACAATTCACGTGGTGCTAAATGAGGTATTTTGTAGAAATCCAACATGGCGCAGTTCGTGGGAACAGTCATTGGAACCAAGATGAACAAAACAGCAAAGGTCTTGGTTACCAGACTGGCCTTGTATAACAAACTTAAAACTGTGAGTTGGCGACCTCTTTTTCTTTTCCGTGAATTTTTGTATACACATTTATTGAGGGTTTCGTTGGACACCCGTAACAGTGTGTCCAGTAGGGGAGAATTTAAAAACAAATCTGTTTAGATGCATGGCAATAAAAAAGATGAAGAAGAATTGCTAGGAATGAGCAGGCTTTTATAGGAATTACTTTGTATCATTTTGTCGTAGTGATTCCATATGATATCACATTAGTTCATATTGATATCAGACCATATCATGTCTTTTCAAGCAAGTGACTGTCTTGGGTCCTTTATTGCCAATATGCTAGAGGGAGATAGAATTTATTTACCAGACAAGCAAATCAACCAATCTGTTGGAGTTTGATACTTAACCTAAGTAGCTAGTAACACTTATTCAAGCTTAACAGTCTCAGCAACATAAAGTTTTTGTGCAATGCATCCCTAGTAAGCCTGACCACTATTACTTGTTTGAAATGTGATTAAAAAGCAACCTCAGACCTGGTTTAAATGCCTCCAAAATGTAGATTAAATTTATGATAATGTTTTATTTTTTGAAAATTGTAGCACAGAAGTTATTTTGTTTTCATTTTATTCAGCTTTGATTTTATTTTGTTGTTTTGTTTTTAGTTTCCAGTCACCAAAGTCATAGTTTCGTTGTATTAAACATGACACAAAGTTGAAACTCTTTACCCTTTGATTTCATGTTTTCTCTTTTATCTCAGTTCTTTAATGAAAGAAAAGTGTACTTTGCCCATGATGAAAATGATGAGTGTGCAAGAGGGGACCTTGTGATCATCAAGGAATGTCAAAGGTTGAGCAAGAAGAAATATTTTACTGTGACAGAGATAGTTGACAAAGTCCCAAGAGTGGTTGATCCTGAGACTGGACAGATTATTGTGCAAGATAATAGAGAATGAGACTGTTCTAGGTATAAATATTTTCCCACACAAAACAGGAGATCATATTATGGAGTATGGAGGTGACTTCTGAATGGGAAGAAGGGCAATTGAAGCAACATTTTGCCCTTAAAAAAAAAAAAAACTTTGACTCATCACTGTCAATGTATTAGCAATAATTACTGCAGGGCAACAACAATGTTTACAAGGTCTCACTACAGTCCATAAGATTGTTATTTCTCCCTGAAGAATTGTGTTGTTTTTGCATTTGCAACAAGTGAGGAAGTCCTTAAACACAAAGGCGCACTATAAAAGGAGCCTTAGGTCCCACTGAACCATTTGTCAATCAACCGTCGTATGATGTAGAACTCTTAGAGTCAAGTCAGCTTGAGCTACAGCTACTCCAAAGCAGTGAACAGCAGGCGCATTCCTCAAAATTGTTTTATGTCTTCATCGCAATACAAGAATATTTGAGATTTGTATTCCTTTCTCCAATGGAAATTGTCTTTATTTGTGGCAGTAAATTTGAGATTGAAGTAGGTGGTTCGCATGTTACCTCATTCCACCGTGCTGGTGGAAGTAAAAAATAGATATCTCATTAGCTCCTTTTGTTCATTTACCAGCATTTAAATTTGAACCGCACACGTCAACGGTGAGTGACAAATGAGCCTAGGTCTTCCCAGGGAAGACTTCCTTATATAGCATGCCTTCATGTTTAAGTTATACAGTTACATGTAACCATTTCATGCTTGCCCCTAAGTTTTTCTTTATGCATCCACAATATTGACCCAGCTAGCATTGTTTTTAAATTATTTCCAAATTTTTACCTCATCAAGAGATATGAAAATTAAAAAAGTCATAAAACAAATAATTTAGAACAGTAACACAATTCAGGAAGGGAAATCTATTAGCTGAGTGAAATCAACTTGAATGTTAATGATGCCTTTAAAAACTTTATTTCTATGCACTTTACCTTCAGAAATGTAAAAATGTATGAATAGTTCATGAATTAAATCCTTAGACTAATGACGTCCAGTTTTGCAATAAAAGATTCAGAATGATGAAGTTTCTTTCTTTGTGGTATTAACCACCCATTTCACCTACCTAATGTCAATTATCCCAAAGGTTTACAGATAAGCAACATTCCAAATACTAAAAGTGCACTTTCCTTTTTTTTTTGGATTTTTGAAACTCCTCCCATGAGAGAGAGGGTCCCCTTCACCCCTTTGTAAAACTAGAAGTCACATAAAAATATTTGGCCTTTTCACACATCACAAATAATATCCAAAATCCTCACGTTCACGCAAAATTTGAGATGCTCACGTTTTGAAAATAAAAAACCAAATTCACGAATTAAATTTTTACTTTTTCTAGTTTTGACCAGGCTTAAGCGAGAAAAGGCAATGTAATGTCTTATCTTTTTGTTTTTTTCAAGAATTATCTTTTTTTTTCAAGAATTATTAGTGGTGTGATATGACTTCTATCGCTGGGGCGGATCCAGGATTTAGTCAAGGGGGTTTCGGAGAATTGTTCCCCTTCTGAGGGGTCCAAGATTTTGAAAATTAGGTCTTCGGAAAGATGATTTCCAGCGTTCTGAGGGAAAATTTAGGGGGTTCGACCAAACCCCCCGAACCACCCCTGGATTCGCCCCAGTATCGATACATGTGAAGTCCATGTCCTGTCTAAAGCCTGGTGAAAACCTAAGCATAGCTGTTCGAGAACAATACTTATATTTTCAAAACCATTAAAAATTAAAAGCCGGGAACTCATCACACAAAACAGAATGTTTCACAAATCACTTTTAATTCAGCTCTTCACTCACGAATCACGTTTCGATAAAAGGAAAATTAGTTCGCGTGGACATGAAAAGATCTTATCATCTTTGATCGCGATTCACAAAGAAAGAATCAGGATTCGTGAGAAAAAAAAAACGTGCAATCACGCTTTATGTAAAAAGTGCAGGAGACCCTCCTGAAAGCTTGTAAAATGACATTTACAAGTTATTAAAAACAGATGAATCTCATAAGATGCCCACCGACTCAATTTCAAAGTGATTCAGTAATATCATTTATTCTCTACCTTCTCCTCAAGACGTCAACTTAAATGAGTTTAAGGCAATTGCTCTTGCAGCCATCAAGTCATCTAATATGATATCTATCAATTGTTTTAATCTTTTAGTTTAGGAATAGTACGTTATGTTATAGCTATATTTATATATTCAATATGTTTTACTGTTGTTTTTATATTTATTTATTTGTAATTCATAGATCATATTTATATCAAGAGTTTAAACCGATTGTTGTTCATTACTTAGTGCCATTGTTTTTGAAATTATTATTGTTATTTGCTATGATATTATTTTGAAACTCCTGGTTTAGTTTTTTTTTGCTGTCTTAGTGTTTCAGTGAGAGAAAAGCAAAAAAAGAGTACAGTCGGAGAGTTTCACTTCTCGGTTACGCTTCTTATACAATTTTGAAAAGTTGACTTAAGAATAGGAGCTCACTGTCGAGTATATAAGAATATACAGAAAAAAAGTTTACCTCACTAGCACCCCTACCCCACCCTAGTAAAAAAAAAAAAAAAAGAAAAAGAAAAGCACTGCCGCGGGCGCTCGGCCTTTCCCGCCAACTTTTGAGACTGCAAATAAAAGCTCGATGTCGTGGTGAATCTGAATATTCCGTTTTGTTAATAGATTTCTTCAAAGAAAGCAACATTTTCTTCTACAATCCAAACTGTCTTTGGGTCTCAATGTGCCGAACTTCAGTAGTATGACCAAGAAGCCCAGAGAAGCCATTTGCAGGAAACCCTCTCCGTTTGATCAACTACTTCTGTGAATGTTAATATGAGGCAATGTTTTGTTTACGTGGAATTTTTACTACGTTTTAAGAACACTTAGCCTAACAGCTTACGCCTACAGATTCCCTTCGCTTTGAATATCATTGGATACTACACGTCCTCCTTTCTTGGGACAACACGCTTTTATTGTCATAATACAGTGGACGAAAACCCAGCTCTGAATCAAGCCGCAAAATTAGTCAAAAAGTGAAAGTTTTTGAGAAATGGCAGATTGGGTCCATTGCAATAGCTGCTACATTCGACCTGGAGGAGGAAAGTTATTTTCTCTCACAAACTGTGGTCACATATATTGTGCAGATTGCCTAAAAGGTGAATCTAATTTTAAAGGAATTGTACCTAGAGATCTCAGCTTTAATACAGCGTGAGTTATATTTATTTGCTACATTAGTATACATTGTCTACATTTGTCTGCAGCAAACCCTGATCAGTGCACAATATGCAAGAGAGCATGTAATTCAATCGCTTTATCATCGCAGGTAAGCTTAATCGAGTATTCAGTAACAATTTGGTTTAAAGTTATCTCTGAAATAATAGTTAAGTATGAAAGCTGAAATCAAACAGAAGATAGTAAGCTTTTGAATGAAAACCCCGTGTGTTTGTTTTTAAAATTAGGTTTTTTTCACTTCAGATGAAACCTGAAGTTGAAATGTACTTTACCAATCCTATTGATTTGTCCAAGAAATACTACACACAGCTGTCACAGGTAAAACTTTTCCAAACTGGTAATGGAATAACACTGTTATGAAAGTGCTAAATATCAAACTTGCTAAATATGAGCTCTTCTCCAAGTTTTTTGTATTGCACACTTACCCATAGGGAAAACATGAATGTATGTGAATCTTGTGGTTCCTTTGAAACGTTTTTTGAGGCCTCTCAAAAAACCTCTGTTTATCACTCTAACCATAGGCTCTAACCAACCCAAACTTTAGAGAGAGTTTATCATTTTTTCGTTAGTTGGAGACACACTCGCCTTCGATGTCTAAAACTGGATTTAAATAGTAAATAATACGTGAAGGTGTAGTCTGATCGTCCGGGTGAGTGTAGTCCTGAGAAGGACCGTTGTCGGTGGTAGTGACTAACGTTTCGACAACCTGTGCGGAAGTCATCATCAGACTCAAGTGAATCATTGTTGTCAGTAGAATGTTCTTCTTCCAGTTCGTGTGAAATGATCGGTTGCTTTTGCCGTGAGGTTATTGGCTGTAAGACTCAAGTGACGTAGGTCTGTCGTTATTGGTCTGTTTCGATCTGTCGGTAAAGTTAGGTCGTTCTTTTTCGGTCGTTTGTGATGTTTATGTCGTGAATGAGTCGTTTGTATGGAGCGGGTAGTTGTTGACATCTGTTTAGGGGAGTCTGTTCTAAGTTAGTAAACCAGCTTTCCAGAGTCAGTCGTTGAAAATAGTCAGTGCTGTAGGTTAGGCAGTCAATGTTGTTGTTGGTAAGTCGATGGTGTGTCTTGTTGTGAGGTTTCTACCAGTCGGTCGTTTGTGATGTTTATGTCGTGAATGAGTCGTTTGTATGGAGCGGGTAGTTGTTGACATCTGTTTAGGGAGTCTGTTCTAAGTTAGTAAACCAGCTTTCCAGAGTCAGTCGTTGAAAATAGTCAGTGCTGTAGGTTAGGCATTGCGACATAAACTTGACTCTGATGATGACTTCCGCACAGGTTGTCGCAACGTCAGTCACTACCACCGACAACAGTCCTTCTCAGGACTACACTTACCCGGACGATCAGACTACACCTTCACAGAATGAATATAATGTAATGTTTTTTCGGACAATTCTTCGGTAGCTCAAGCGTACAACTATTCAACATTGAAAAGCTTTGTCATCCAAAGGTTTTCCTTTCTACACATTCTCGATAAGAGCTCGGTTTACTCAGTACATCCAAGATACTCCGGATCCCTTAAGTTGACTTGCTAGAACTTTTCTATGTTTAGCTTAGCAACCTTCATATCATAACTAGACATGAGTCATCCGAGTTCACTCCTCTGTTTACTAAAAAATGACAAATAAATCCTAACAATATGGTAAACTTTGATAAAATGAATGCACTCGATTTAAAAAGATCACGAGACTCTGTCTGAGCTAACTCTGGAAAGGACATGACCGAATCGGAGTAAGAGTCACTCAGAGGAAACCATACAGTAAAGCAATTAATCATTTAATCAGGACCTTAAGGAAACCCCGACGGTAACAGCAAAGAGGACATGGGTAAACTTAAGATCTATAATCAACATAAAATAGCTCAGAGCTCAGCGTTTTAAAACTTCGTTTATTTCTTAACCGTCCTCTTATAGTTTAAGCTTCAAAACCGCAACGTGAAATCACCAAAATTATAACATAACTAAGGTAAAGCGCGCGCTCTCATTGGTCAATTTAGCGTCCCCCATTTGCCCATAGGTGTACACTGTTGACGTGAGCAAATGCAAAGACTATTTTNAACGACCTAACTTTACCGACAGATCGAAACAGACCAATCACGACCGACCTACGTCACTTGAGTCTTACAGCCAATAACATCACGGCAAAAGCAACCGATCATTTTACACGAACTGGAAGAAGAACATTCTACTGACAACAGTGATTCACTTGACTCTGATGATGACTTCCGCACAGGTTGTCGAAACGTCAGTCACTACCACCGCCAACAGTTCTTCTCAGGACTACACTCACCCAGACGATCAGACTACACCTTCACATGTTACCCCCGGGTTCAAGCCATTTACTGCAGTATATAATACATTATTTCACCCACTTTTAGAACATCCATATCACGCAAAGGCAGGCGCGAAGCGTCCTATACGCATATACGCACGTGAGTACTTGAAGTGACCAGAAAATTTTGAAAACAATGCTGTGTTTGCGTCAAGTTTGCTCAAAATAAGGGCAAGACATATATCTTATTAACCAAGCGCGAGGGCCGTACAGGGAGAATATCGGCCTGAGGTCTTGACAGTACGGACCGAGCGCGGCGAGGTCCGTACAAAAAAGACTGAGGGCCGATAATTTTCCATTACGGTCCCGAGCAAGCTTGGTTAATAAGAGATTTATTATTCGACTGAAGTTCAAAGGGAAACAAGTGCGGTATCATTCGGGACCATTCGGGACAGTGCCCGGTCCAATACTTAGAGAATATTGGACCAGCAATAGAGCATTTTGATTGGTTGATTTTAGTTATTGGCTCTCCGACTGCCCGAGTCGTGTAATAAGTTTTGTTCTTTGCTTGTATTCACACAACTATTTCGAACAAGAAATAAAGAGCGCAGTATTTTTCGCTCAGTTTACTTAGGTTTCTAGATCATATGTACTCGTGCGTACTTGAAAAAATTACCACGCTACGCGCCTGAAATGGAAAAGAAAGATTACATTAATCAAAACCTTCGAGTTTAAAAAAAAACCCAACAAGGAGACTGAATAGAGAAGTAAAAGTAGTTTTTTGTCAAGAATTCTCATGACCATATTCCTTATCTAAATCAAGCCACTATTGCAATATAAACTGAATTGGACATGAAAAGGCCATGGAAAGGTAACCGTCAAACAAGGGAATGCCTTCTCTCGAGTCTAAGCACCAGAAGGCTACTCTTGAAAACTAGTTGTTTTTTTTTTTTTTTTTTTTTTTTTTTGTCATTTCATACCAGGTGCTGGAGTTTCAGAAGAGCCACAGACAACGACTAGCAGCAAATATCGAGAAAAAGGTACGTTCATATGTACGTCGGTAGCAAGAAAGATGATAGATGCTAGTTTTTCTCTGTAGTTGGTTTTGTAGTCTGCAAACGCGGCCTATTTTCTGACATTTGACACTTTTACGAGCGCACAAAAGATACAAGTAGCTAGGCGCTTTATGCAGCACGTGCACAAATTTTTAAAACCACATTTAGTGTGGCATGACCACAGCATTTTTCCAGGGATCACGAAGCAGATACAGAAGATGCGTTTTGAAGAGACAGTACGCAAACTTTTAAAGACGAAAAAATTGAGCCACAATGCACGGATGGCAACTTGAACTGTAATTACGACGGGTTTCATTAACTTGATATAACCTTGAGACCAACTGAAAGAAATGTATTGTCTCTTGTGCAGCTGAGGATCTTGTTTCAAAGGACATATCAGGTTTTTTTCCAATGGGATTTCACTGCATTTGTCACAACATAGCCGATTTTATCTTAAAAGGTGTTAGCAGCAGAGAGGCTCCAGAAGCACATGACCAGATTACAGGAACTTGAACGGTACTCAACGTCGATATGCTCCGACCGAATGGGTCTTCGACAGAGTTTGGAATTACTGCTTTTTACTATGACTCAAATAAATTTTGCAGTGAATGCAAACAACTTGACTTTCCACTGGAGTTGAGCTGGGCTTGAGAAGTATTAATATTTCAAGTATTAAAACTGGGCTTTATTTGTTCAGTTGATGTAACCTATACAGTGCCAGGCAACTCGCAGGAATAACTCAGTGCTCGTCGCTCTTCAATGAGCTTGAAATATTTTACATCACTGACTATCTAATCAGATCGTCCTTTTCCAGTTTGTGACGTAGTAGACTGATTGTTGAGTTCGCCTTTCTTGTGTAGTATTGACGGTTTCTTTGTCTTGTACAGGGAAGTTGCTGTTCTTCAAGAGGAGAATAATCACCTCAAGAGCCTGCTTGCCAGTAGTTCTAGTAGGCCTGGAGCGCCACATAATTTTAGGAATTCACCAGGGACAATCCCCGGGAAAAGGGGTGAATAACTGAACTATATTTCCCAATAAATAAAAAGTTTTCATGGGAAAAACAGCACAATTAATCATTTGTTGTCAAAAGTTGTCTCTATCTATAGATTTTAATCATTGATACACTCAGTTCATATTTTTAAATACTACAAAACATCTTGTGTCATGCAGCTGAATCTCGTGTGAGGAGTTTCACTTTAACTACAGAATCGAGTTGACTCCTTTTTTGCAATCGTAATCAACAGGTCACACACCATCTCCGACTTGTAGTCAGTACTCCTCCTCTCCTTATGGAAAGACCACACCCAACAGGTAAATGCGATCTCTGTAGTTCGTCATTCTTCGCTTGTAACTTATTTGTGAAGGTCAACCTAATTCATCTACGAGCCAAAGAAGTCTGTAGCTGGGTTATTCGTCGCGAAAAATGATCTTGTGGTCTTTTTCCTCTCTGCATTCGATTTTTGAACGTCAGCTCCAAGCACAGCTTTTGGAGCTCAACTTGTGGGCATGCATAATCTCCACTGTTTTTTTTTATTTTTTATGGTATAGCAAGTAGATTATTTTCCGCGAGGCTTGCTAGAAATCATCCATCTGTGCTGAGACACAAGGGCCTCGCAATCGGTTGACATGATAACAAAACGTTCTAAGAGCAGTTGTATTTGCCTTCTGATCGTTGTTCGTGCTTCAAAAACAATTTCTGTGAATAAGTTTCGTTTGGCAAATGTTATTGAGGTCAAGAGTTGTTATAGGAATGTCATGATCACCTTTTAAATGCCTTATTTCTTGCAGTTCTCAAAAAGAAAACAAAGGGTCACATCATTGGCAGGTGAGGTATATTTCAATAATTGCTCAGTTTGAGCTTCAATTCTATTCATGGCTAAATTTTCCCCTTTTCTTTAAATTTTAGAACCAGTTATCCCGCCCTGTCTCTGGGCCAACTAGACTGTCAGTGAGAACTCCACCTTGCAATGGGTTTATGGGTAAGTGATTTTTGTTTTTCAATTTCTTAGCTCTCTTCCTGTCTACAGGATCTTGCTCGAACTCTTCCATGTTCCACTTGTGATATCAAAAGTTAAACTCAGCTCTTCCGATGAAGCCAGCAAAACTTATGTTAAAACGGGCTTTGATATAAATGGTTTAGTATTCGAGTAACCCTTTTCTACAATTTCAGCAAAATTAAGTTAAAACATACCTAATTATATTTTGAATTATGCTATTTGCAGGTACTGTCCGAGGAACTCCATCCCCCAACAAGCAGGATTTATCTCGTCCAGGATCCGCTGGGGGGACATCAGGAACTGTTTTAAGGTATCTCAAACTCACGCATATCCATTTTGAACCCAGAGTTTACTCCATACTTACCGTGACCATATATTTTGAGCAATGTTTTGATGGTCTAATTCAACAAAGACACGTAGCCTACTTTGGAGCCGTGACTCATCTATAACTTTCTTTCCCCTTGTGATTATTTTTCATGTCCAAAGGAACCATCTTCAAGGAATACACCTCGCAAGGACAGCAAACACTCCCGGGAGTTATGAAGCGGTCACGCCATCAGGCTTAGGGGCAACAGGGGTTACTTGTTCTCCCATGGCAATGTCATCACCTGTCTTAACAATAAGGTCACTAAAATCGATTATAAGTGCAGTAATTGAACATCATTTGGTTTTTGCATTTATGGATAATGTGAGCATCAAAGAATGAAATTCAAAAGATTAAAAATGAGTAATGCTCGCACAGTATCAAAAAGGCTCACAGCTATAGCTTCTACAACAAGTGAAACTCCCTGAATACTTCAAAATACCAGATTCATGTGATCAAAGGGTTTCTGGGCAGAATACCTTAAGTCAACAGTATGATCGAAAAGATTTGAAAAAACTGTCATTAACACCTTTCGGGGCTATGAAAAAGTCCAGGTTCACAGCTAGCTGTTAGCTTTTTTATCACTTATATTCATAATAACAAAGATCAGTGATATCGACCGCAACAATTGGTCCGGCATGCTTCCAATTCAGTGCTTTCCTTAGAAGCTCTGAGACATGACTCCTTAATCCCTTCCCTCCAAAGATCTCACGAGTAATTCTTCTTACTGTCTGCCATACAATCCTTATAACGTTAGTTCTAAGAAATTAATATTGGATCAATGGTAATCCCCTAGTTAATATTTCTCTATCTTCTCATTAATTGACTGTTCAAGGAGAAATTCTGTCTTGGCTATGCACTCAAACGAGTTATCAGGTTAAAAAAGAATCAAAGGGGGGGGGGGTGAGTGAGTTAAATTGGATATGTGGACGTAAGCATACATACCGTAAGACCTATTTAAATCTCCATTTTGTTTCTAACATTCAGATGTATCCGCTTTTGTTGTGTATTTCAGATCTACCACGCTAAGCAGCAATAGGTTTAGTAACAGATCACAGTATACAACTCCCTCTTCGTCTCAAGCTTCATCACAAAGCAACCTTTCGACTCAACAGTCCGAACGCTGCAGCCGTAAGTAGAGTGTGACCCTTTGGTTACTTTGCGTGAAAGTGCCACTGGATGTTTACAAGAAAAATTAGTAGAGAATTTTAAATGACTTTTTTCAGCAGAAGAGGATGAAATGTCCACACCTTCAAGTCAACTGGACCCTTCCAGGCGACAGATACAGGTTTTGTTTTTTTGACTTGTTACCTTCTTTGGAATTTAAACTAGTTATTTCAGTATTTGAACTTAATGTTTGTTTTGTTTCCTTTCCAACAGCTGAGATACCAGCCAAGATCAGCGATAGTAAACAAACAACCCTTCTTGTAAGTTTTAAACCTTGAATATGTATGTTAGTTAAGTTGGCGGGATGGGACTTTGACTAACCAATCAGAAATCCGTGTCAATAAAATATTTAGCATAGGACCGGGTTTCCATGCGGTGGGTGCACTGCAAAGAAAAAAAGTGCGCCCAGACACACATATACACACACACACACACACACACACACACACACACACACACACACACACATACACACACAAATAGAGCAAACAAAACGTCCGGCTCTCTCCACTGTCATGAATTCAGTCTCAAGGACTGGAATTATCCTAGACAAGAAGTGGACACTGACTTTTTTGCTTGTGCCGAGCCTTTTCTTAAAGGAATAATACTCAACATACGCCAACGTTGATATGTACTTGATATGTAAAACCTTAAAGTGCACCTGACCCCTAAATTTTTTTTTCGTTTAAAAAAATCTTCATGCTGTGGTGAGTATCTCTTCGTAAACATTTTGGATTTGGTCAAATCCTTGAATTTTTGTGCCCCGTTGAGGCACGGAAAATCGCATTAAAATCACCTCTATTTTGGCTCACGACCGCGTTTCAAGGATCAAGAATCTAGCGACTAATGTGACGTCACTTCGAGAACCCAACAATCTGTATTTCGTGCCATTTTGCACAGTTCACTGGTTATGTTTGGAAGGTTCGATCGATTTTGGTCGCAAATATGCCGCAGAATGAATCTAGTGCTAGAAAGGCTTTCACAGGTCGACGACTGGCTGAGAATTCCTTGAGCGTCTTCTCGAAGTGACGTCACAAGTCTACTCTGCCCAGATCCCCATTTACGCGGTCGTGGTCCATTCGGATCTCGACTTCAACAGGGCATAAAAAAAGAGGGTTTAACCAAATCCAACAATTTTTTGGAAGAAATACTCACCAAAGCAGGAAGATTTTTTAAGTGAAAAAAAAAATTTAGGGGTCAGGTACACTTTAAAACTCCCTTGCACGATTTCTGTCGTTCACCTGTTCATGTTTGCCAAAGAAGATGTTTATCATTCGAGTGTGCGTAAAGCATTTATTACGTTTTTGCGGAGGAGGATTCCATTAGCATCACTGGCAATCCTTTTTTTTTTGTTTTCCGCGAAATCTTACTTGTTCCTACCTTACTTTCTCCTGTTATGTAACAGTTCATTCAAAATTATGCGATTCTGTCGATGGAAAATAATTCCAAACTTCAATACCTCAGGTTCAACCTGGCATAAAAGTTATTAAGTTTGATATTCCGAAGGCTGAGAATAATGACAGTAATTATGACAATCTTAAACTTTACTTGTAGGAGTACAGTGCCACTTTAATTGCCTTTTTTCTGATATCTTTTTGAGCAATGAACAGGGTTTTAATTAAAAGCGGCCTAAGTCAAGAGCGTGAATCCCTGTTAATAACGGTATAAGGTAAAAGGAAATGTAAGAAAATTTAAGAACACATTTGAGGGATCGCACAAAAACCTTCTGCAGGATTTCAATTTTCTTTGTGTCCTATTGTCCTTTATTGCAAGTTCCGTAATATTTCAGCAAGCTCATTTTAAAATCGCACCAAAACTGGTCACTATTTGAATAGGACGACCCAAAGAGTGAAAAGGCCTGCTTTTCCTGTGCTGTTTATGCTCGTCGTCCTTTGGAACCTCTCAAATACATTCTCACTCATCCGTCATTTCTCGCTCACAACTTTGGATACCAATGGCGAAATCATCTCAAAATCTAGTTATTTCCAGCTGCCTCAGTCGCAGTTCCTTTCAACGGAGGAGGTAGCATTTCATGAGCCGAATGAAAAACTTACACACTTACTATTACCTCTTGAAAACCTTCTTCGTTTTAATAAGCTAAGTAAATTATATTAATTTTGCTTGCACGGCAAAGGCAGTAATTTTACCATAGTCAGATGTTGGCTACACGTAGAGAGAGAAAATCAACAACGCAACTTGATATTGATCAGAATCTTTTGCAAATACATACGTCGACAATTGGGGAGAGTAAAACTAATTTGAGTATTTGCTTTCGCATCGCAGATGAAGCCAATAATGATTTACGTTATCGGGTTGTTAATATTAAAAAGCATCTTAACACTGATGATGAGTCAAAAGTAATAAACCCAATGGAGTTCTGAGCAGACATATGTCCATCAAACTCAGTAAAGATTCACTGGTTAATAAAGCTGGTATAATCTTGAAGTTCGTTGCGAAATTTCATTTAGTTGGCTGTATGCTGAGCCGAGTAGAATACTGCGATAACGGTAAGATAAAATGAAAAACCAAACAGACATCGAAACTGAAAGTTTGTTTTCAGAATCACTCTACATCACTTGGATCAAGGTTGCAGCTTACACCTTTATAATCGTGACCTCCTTGGTGGGCAATGGGCTCATTATAGCAATAGTGCACAAGAATTACAACCATCACATGAAGACACCAAACAATTTCTTCGTTGTGAATACGGCAGTTGCTGATATTTTGATCACCTTATCCAGTTCGACAGAGGCAGTCATAACGCTGGCTGTGTCTGACTGGTTGATCCAGGGAACTGTAGGACATGCTTTGTGCAAGCTTAAGTCCGTCGTAATGGCGTTATCCGCACTAGTGTCCACCCAAAGTTTGGCCACGATGGCGGTGGACCGCTTCATTGTCGTGTTTTTTCCACTGAGGAGAATCATTACACGCCCTGTGGCATACGGAATAATCGCAATCATCTGGCTCACATCAGTTGTTTTCACAGTACCGCTGGTATTTTTAGCGATCGTTCAAGAAATTAAGGGCACTAGCATTTGCTACTTAACGTTCTGGTCGTCAAAATCAGTGGAGAGTTACTTTGTGGCCATATTCGTCTTGTTCAAATGCTTTCCTTTGGTGATTCAAGGCGTACTGTACACCGCAGTGATGGTAAAGCTATGCCTACGAGAGACACCGGGGAATGAGCTTCACATCCCAAACCATCACCATTACCACACGGAAAAGATGAACAGGAGAATTATTAGCATGCTTGTGGCAATTGTAGTTCTCTTTGCCGTTTGCTGGCTTCCCGTCTGGATAGAAAGCATGATTTGTTTCCAAGACATCTCCGACAGTGCTTGTCAGTCAACTCACATCTATTTTATCGTGTGGTTTTTGGCTTACAGCAAAAGTGCAATTAACCCGTGCATTTATTTCATTTTTAACGAGACTTTTCGCCACGGTGCTTCGACACTGTGGGCGAAAATCATCCGTGGCCGTTCCCGGAGGCGCTGCGAAATTGCCCACAGACGCAACAGGGTAACAGCTTTGCAGAATCGAACCGTAGGAGACAACACTCACACTACAACTTGAGAAGCGCACATGAAAATACTTCAACATGAATCGAAATCAGCAGTTACGTAATCTTCGGTGGTAATTTGCCACCCACTCAACGAATTCAACAGAAATTCCTACCTTTAATTTAATGTAGGATCAATGCCATCTTCACATTTTGAAAATTAGTATGGTGAGGATAGGCCCAAAATTTGTAGATTAAATTTTATTTGTAGAAGAATGACAGTTGCAATATCTATTCGTCTACACCTGTCATTTAAGAACTCGATTAAAATTGCCAAGTTGGTGAGTTATTTATCTCTTTATGAAATGACTTCCTCTGTTTTCTTCAAAATTTTCGATAAAAAAAGTTAGCACGCTACTTCGATGAAACCAAAGTAAAAATTAATTTGCGGAGTCTTTCCTAAGTTCAAAACAAAATACTAGCATAAGAAAAAATATTTAAAACTGCTCGAGCGGGGACAACACCTCAAAGTTACCGAAGAATGAACAGATCGCTACCTGCACAAGAGGCTTGTGCAGCTATTACACTCGAAAATGGACTGCTATGATTCTGTTTCTTTATCTTTGCTAAGGTGCTAACCTATCTTGAAAAACAACCTAGAATTATTTACTTCTCGGCCGCAATTCAACCAAATTGGCTTCCACGGTTCAAGGAGAGAGTTACTAAAACTTTCATCAGCAGCACTACTTGATCGATCTAGTCCACTCTTTTCTATGTTTTCGAAGATTAACTGTCAACAGATGATCACGCTCTGGCGAGAGACTCTGAACTAACCGTTCGATTCTCTCTTCGCAGGACCACACCCACTTGTGCACCACGTCGAGATGATGTATTGTAACTAGAAAATTTATTTCATCAATACTGTATATAAACAACCTGTGTTTAGTTGAGCGTAAAAACATTGCTAAAGCTCCTAAAGTTCCTCTAACTTTTCAGTGTATAGATTCCCTAATACGATCTATAGATACCAGAGAAACCCAATCATTGTTTAACAACAAGATCGACGTCGAATTTGAGCGAAACATTTTGAAAACCGCTCTTCGTGCATGTAAAAAACTCAAAACGAGCCCGCAAAAAGACAATCTCAACTCTGTAGAAAATTGCAAAAGGTCATTCAGCAAAGTCCATATTTTATTAAAGTTTATTTAGTTAACTTCTTGGATTGTAACGTTGATCCCTTACTGTTGTACAGCACCTTCTAACCAGTCACTAGAGATTCAGAATAGCCAGTTCGCCATGCGCCTGCGAATAATAGGAGCCGTATTGCCAGGCAACTTAACGTGAACGTATCTACCTCATTGCTTGTGTAACAGTCAAAAGCCCTTGCGCATGATGACATTATCAACTGAAATTTCTTCCCCAAGTTTCGTTTACAAAACATATTTGAGCATTTGAAACTTCTTTGTTTTCTTTATTTTTTACGATGGAATCCTGTTAACATAAGGGTTTTCGGAGTACTCTCGTTTCAATTTCCAGACGAAAACGAGTCCAACTTATTCAAATTCATTACTCCCTACTTTGAAAACGAGGCTTGGAGGTGAATTGGCTTTTCTGATGTAATTATACAGGAAGGCTGTTGGTCTCCGGGATGCCAGAGATTTTCAAAAACAAACGCGGGCTCTTGTTGTTTCCTCACGCCTTCTACTTCGAAATAAGACATTCATCGCTCATTTGGAGTAGTAAGAGAACGCGATGCTGTTCTGGAAGTAACATTATAAAGGGAATGTACAAAACTCGGGTCCTTGAAAAGTATTTACAAAATAGCTTTCCGAAAAATGCCAGATAATTGTGAATAAAATAAGTTGTGCTTCTATCTTATAGTTATTGCTGGGTATTTCCATGAAAAGGAGGTGGGCGCTGTTGCCGTCGGGCAGCAAGTCTTTTTCTCAAATCTCTCACCTCAGCCATGAGTACCAGTTCACGTTTCTCAAACGTTGCTCGCTGGCGCTCGAGGGAAGGTTCTGTGACAACATCAAAACGAGTGATTAAAACGTGACCGGATCAAGTTTGAACCTTGCGTTTAAAGTTAAATTTAAAAAAAAGAAAAAAAAACATTTATGGTACTTCAGAAGTAAACACGTGCCACGCAGCCAACGAAGTGTTTACATAGTGACTTCATTACTTAAGGAAAGACTTTACTATGGCTGAGGAGCAACACAAACACACTTGTGCTTCTACATTTGAAAAGACATCTAATTGAAAGGTGGTACTGAATTTTTCTTCCAATGCTAAAAGTTTTACCTCGAGAAGTGATAGGTGTCCCGCTGGATTCGGACTCCGTCGTGGTGCTGCTCTCTGTGTTATTGGGAAGCATGGTGCTTAACGGTTTTCTAAGGTGATCCGGGATTTGACGAATCTCCCTAAGCCGAGCTACGTTAAACAGAGTAATAGAACATGTCATGAGCCTTGTGAAGCGAAAGATAATTAGTTGTGTGAGTGTTTTGGTTTCTAAAAACTCCATGCGTTATCAAAGAAAAAAAAAAGACACCCAGTACCGTTTCAGCCTCCAGCATGAAAGCAGAATTTCTCACTCAAAAGAATACACTCACAAAATGACTCCGAGTCGTCGGTAGTCGTGGTTTGATCTCGTGACAGAGCACTCAGAAGATTCAAACGTCTTCTGTCCTCCTCGGCTGCCAGAGCCTTTCGTTGTCTCACTTCCGACTGCTTCATAGCCACTGCGTCATTCTACAAACATGTGCAAAAAAGTGAAGAAAACCAAAATCAGGTTAGAATAATAATAATAATAATAATAATAATAATAATAATAATAATAATAATAATAATAATAATTTAATATTTATATTGCGCAAATTAACATGTGGATATGATCAAATGCGCATCACAATACTTTTCGGGGGACTTTGGCCGGACTGCATCAGCAGTTTACAAACAATCGAAGGAAACTTATTTTAAGATGCCTCCTCCCCCCAAGTCCCAGTAAACAGGCCAGACCACATCGCAGTAATCTCGTGAGTAGGTTCTTCAACGTCCCCTGCCTAACCAAATTAACTTATTAATAGATGCAGGAGACGGGACCTACAGTTTATTCGTCCTTATCCGAGAAGACTAGAATGTCTATCCATTTCTTGATATCATAGAATGGTAGCGCATTCTCCTCAGTTATTTTAAGACCTTGAGTGTTGGTCCGGCCGGGGCTCGAACCATCGACCTCGACGTCGACCTCCCGCACAACAGTCCAGCGCTCTAACCAATTGAGCTAGCCGGGAGGCGGTTAGCTCAATTGGAACTTTATCCAACAGATCCAACTTATTGGAGGTGTGGATGTAGAATGATGCAAAGTAAATATTCGTTCTAACACTGCAAAATAAAAATATTAGGAGAAAGTGTGTACCTCTTTATTCCTCAACTCATGCACAAGCGACTGAACTTCAGTCTCCCTTTCCTTATTCTCCAAAATATGCTGGGCAACCTAGAAACAGTTATAGAAACAAACGCTACTGCGATGATCACTGTCATCTTCATGGTTTCATGTATTAAAGTTACAACCCAGGTAAACATTTGGGCAGGTTTTAGGATGGAAAAAAAAAGAGAAAGAAATTCAACCCTTCCTTACAAGGGTTATAGGACGGGCTAAACCGACATCGCAACAGTTTTCACGTGAACACTATGTAAGTGCGAATTTCAAACAATACACATTCGTAGTAATTCAACTGTTTGAAAGTAACCCAGGTTCGTGTACGAAGTGGCCTAATACGACCTATACTTCATCAGTTTAATTTTCGTGGTTTATCCGGCTTACCTTGACTTCACTCAGCTCGCGGTGAAGATCGTCCATTCTAGTTCTCATATCTACTTCTTCTTCCATATTGACGGATGTGTGTTTCTGTTGGGCATTAGCCAATTCTTCTTGGGTAATCTTATGAGAAACCAAATACTTGCTTAAGATCACTGAATTACTACATGCATCAGTAGGAGCACTTACACTCGGACGACTAGAATAGTAATCAAAGTATACAAGGAGCTCCATCAATCAATTTTACAGTAAAATGGCTGTTGTATTACCCTTTGTGAATCAATGTCGACATCCTGAACGGCATCCATTGTCCTCCTAAACAGTTGCTCTTCCAATTCCTGCTGTTTTCTTTGGATTGCTTGCTCCGATCGCTGCTTAAAGGAATGCTGCAGCTCATCTCGGATCAAATCCTGTGTTGTAAACAATATATTTGCTTTAAATGGCCTAGCTTCAAATTTGTTTTCGTCCTAGGCGCTGCCAAGCTTTGCTCAAGGAGTCTGGCGGACAGTAATCAAAACGGTTTCCACTGATAGTCCAGGAAAGAGTGTACGGTTCAGTGAGAAAAGCGCTTAACTGAATGTACCAACCTGTTGAAGCATTTCTTTTTGCGCTTGAAGCTCCAGTCCCTTTATCTCAGCATCTTCTACAGCGTGCCTGGTTTCTTGTTCTCTGAGTAATGCCTAAAAACCGTTACAAGATGTAAGAAGTGTTTTTAAACTTAAAACAATCCAGAAATTATCCAGTTTACTCTACGGGAAAGAAAACGGCTTTCTAATTCTCTCCGGCGAACTTCGCCTCGCACTTTATTGGGTAAATAGAAGGTTCTTGCACTTTGCCAGGAACCCAATTCAAGGACTTTAAAAGCCTTTTAGGTCATTTTCAAGAACCTTGGCTCTCAAATTCAAGGACCTTTTGCATTGAATAGGAGTTAACAGAAATAAAAAATAGATTGCTTGTTATCACGTGTCAAACATCTTAATCGGACGCGGGATTTGAAAGAAAAACTCGTTTTGGCGATTTACATTTTCAACACCAAAAACAAAGCAAAACTTCAACTTTGATTCATCTGCATTTACTGTCAAACACGTTTCAGAAATTTTCAAGGACCTGAGACTAAATTCAAGGGTTTTCAAGTCCTTTAAAACAAAAAAAAATTAAATTCAAGGACCTTCAAGGAGCGCGGGAACCCTGATAATAGAATAAACAGTAAACGAACAGACAAAAAAAAAAACAATAGGTAGAAAACTGAGCTCGCGGGTATCGGTAAAGATGAGAAGAGGCTGTTATATAGCACTTGATGACTTTGTGCAGTATTTCTTGTGTGCCTGTGGTTGTACTGACCTTGCGTTCTATCTCGTCATCAAGTCTTTGCAACTCCGCTTCTTTAAGTGTTTGCTGATGATGCATAAAACGTCTGCGAACAGCGTCCAACAGTTGCAGCTCTCGTAGGTGAATCTCTCGTTTCATTGCCTGCAATCTAGTAAAAACATTTGATAATAAATATACATTGTTTTTTTTTTTTTTTATTCCTTTCCATGCAGCATGTTGCATTGGAGGAGTCGCAGTACTTGTAGTAGTTCATGTTACAGAAACTTGTGTAAGCTCCAGCAGAGTCGGGACCACTCAGCTCGTTTGCAAGACCTAACCTTCTTCTTTTCGTACCAACCTGCTTCTCTGATCGCTCAGTTTCTGTTCTTCCTGACCGATCACTCTTCTTCGTTGATTCTCGGCGTCAATCATGAGCTCTTGTTGTCGATAAAACGCCTCCTCTTCTTGTTTGCGCTGATCTGCTACCTCTTTCATCTCCTGGGCCAGTTGCCTGTCAAATCAGCAAAAAAATGAGATTGCTAATGCCTAAAAGTGTTATGTCAAGCTTTGTTCATCTAAAGCCTAAAAGAATTGATTTAAATTTTTCATTTTCGTCACTGATTTGAAATTTGTGACAATCTTCCCCATCCTTAATCATCCTTGCACGTTTTTTTAATAATTCTGTCATCTTCGGTGTTTGTTTAACCCTGTACAC